ATACCTGTTTAGGCATGAGCTAATATTCAAGGGTGCTAGTTTTATTAAGATAGTGCCTAAAACACTAAACTTCAGTTGAGTCTAAAATAGGATTTCCTTTTTTGATTCAACAGGAACAAAATATCCTTACCATTAAGCATTATTGTTTTTAAAATCTTGTTTTATTACCATTTGATGAAAATTTTCACCCTAAAACATGTACAAAATTGGCAACAATGGGGAAAAAAGTAGCTTTTAGATATCATTGGGAATGTAAAACTCAACAAATTAAAAGAAATAGAGAGTTAGCTGTCTCAGCTTATTTTTTAAAATAGTACATGAGCTGGTTAAATGATTTCGCCCATCTTAGCAAATTCTGTTCATTGAAAACTCTGTCAGAGGCCTGCTGGCTCTGAGTTATATTTATAAATGTATTTTCTGAAATTGATCTTAAAAGAGACATTTGTTCAGAATACTTTTTAAAAAAAATTTAAATAAAATATTTAGGCAAATGTTGGAAATGACTTAGTTATTTTGAAATAAAGTCATTTATATTTTGGTTTTACTTTGTTCCATGTTTAAATTATTTACTTTGATTTGAGTGGGAAAAGCCCAAATCCTTTATCATGTGGTTGCTGATATGTGTCATTATTAATGAAATGCTCACTCTTGGTACCCCTCGAGGCTTAGAATTTCAAGCACGTGTCAGGTCAAACAGTATTATGAACTGTGCTGTGGAGTGTGAGACGGCACGTTTGAAAGTGAGGCTTGCTGCCTGCCATTTGCAACCTATTCTCTTTTAAGAGCACTAGGTACCAAATCGTACAAGTTTCAGTTTTTGTTACATTACATTTGATGCTGGTGAAAAATTTAAATGTAACTGTGGGAACACTTACCATATTAAGAAAATGTAAATATCTGTAGCACTTTCTTGCAGTTAATTTGAAAACTTTGAATACTGAACCTTATTTTGTCAGTGGTTTAGATGATTTAAATGCATGTGTGATTTTCATTTTGTAATTATTTTGACAAGCATAGTTTACTTGGACAACTTTGTAGGTAGCCTTAACTTCTGGCCAAGTTTGTTTTTTATATAAAAAAAAATATATATATATACGTACATTATGTATGGTTGTAAATTCATACACTTATCACATGAATGTGTTACTGTATACAAAACTCCTTTAATGCTTTATTCTCAAATGCTGGGTTGAAAAATGTTTTGAAAGCCTTTTAAAAATATATATCTTTATAAAGTAATATTCAGGATGATGATGGAAATTGTTTATATTATAAAAATGACAGTATAAAGTTACTTAGTGTATTTAATGATTTATTTTTAAGAGGGAGAGAAGATTCTCAAACAACCTCTTTCTTTGAAATTTTCAGGTTATTGGCTTTTAAAAAGTTAATACTTTAGGCAGTGACATTTTTTCAGTATCATTTAATTCATAATCTGTGTGCTAGTTTGTGGCACATAATTTCATTTGATATGAATATTTATTCCTTTTCTTTCTTTCACCTTGACATTCAGAGTATTGAGTAAAGGAAAGGCTCAGAGCAGAACCGTTGACACTCTGATAAGTTTATGTTCAACTGCTGCGTCTCCCTTAAAACTGCCCTTTGGATCCAGTATTTATTCTTGAGTCCTCTTTCAAATATGACCGTATTCCTGGGGGTTCAGGACTATGAAATGATAATATACAGAGGTGAAACGTTCATTTTAATACTTAAAGTTACATAAATATTTTCAAAAAGTGTTTTGTTATGGAGTATGCTGTTTGTACCCATCCCTGCCCACTTCTTAGGCCCTCTATTGAGATAGGTAATAGTGACCTTGCTTGCATGAAGTGTAGGTGGGGAGTGGGGGAGGGGCGCAGACGTCTTTGAAATCAAAGAATACAGTGAAATCCATTCCTGATTTGGTCTTGTTGCTGTGGCAGACTGTGCTATGAAATGCATAAAAGAATTCTTCATGGTGTGTACCCCAGTTCCTCACCCCCACTCCTGCGTGCTGTAAATCCACCGGCCCGCCACGCTTCCGCAGGTCTAGCTCGCAGAGCTTGTTGCACCAGGTTGCCTTTCCTAGTCCTGTCAACCCGTAGTCGGGAGTGAATTGCTGAATTAGCTGCTATTCTGTATGGAGTCACAATTAAGCTTTTTCTTACCCTTTTCTATGGGGAAGCTATAGGGTGGGTAAGGAAGAAATTGAGCGCTTATACTTGGCTGAAAATATTAGAACTTTCCTCTGACAGGATACAGCAAATTGTAATTAAATATAAACCAGAACCAGAGCTACCTCTAAGTAGTGTTTCCTCAAGCACAAAGCTCTCAGGCATATGAGATCCGCTCTAATGGAGGGTCTCTGATTTCTTGAGCATCAGCGAGTTTCAGAAGTGACTGTCTTTTCTACTCTTTTAAGTTCCTTTGTAACTACACACTTTATCCCATTCCACACTGTGCTTAAATGACAAAGTCTCTTCTGAGAAGCCAAATCCTGTCAAATGATTAGCTAGAGATAGCGTTGATTAAAGGAAAACCTAGAACTGAGGTGAAAGAGGAGAGTTAGTTCTAGTTCTAATAGTCTTCTGATTAAATAAATCAATTCTTTTCTGGGAAATGATCTTTTATAGGAAATGGGATATTTTAAATGCTTTTCTTAAGTTGAAGGCACAACAGTTAATGCCTCTATTGTTGCTTTTCTGTGGCTGACATGGTTTTGATACAGCTTTAAAATTTCTGCTACTAAGCTTTGGATAGAATGTTATACCAGTTTTAAATGTTGGCTGCAGCTTTCTGTGATCCTCTGATTTGCAGTGTAATAACTTCACAAGCTAAATTTCCGGAAAGAATTTTGTTTCAGATTATGCCTCTTGTCTACTTGGGAGCAATGTCTTTTCAATCATGGGATTGACACATGAAAAATAAAGTTATTTCTTAATCTGTGTTGAGAAGCAGTCTTTTATTGAGAACTATTGAAACTGAATTGTCATGCGTGAGAACACTTTGCAGCTTTTCTTGGTCCTGGTTAATATTTTAACATTTGTAGTCGTCCAGGTCTTCTGACCCTTTCAGTCTTATCAGTGGTGCTTTAACTATTTCTACCCAAATGTGTATATGTACATATTTTATTTTTTCCCCTTGGGATGGATTATTTTTCTCACCAAACATTTCACAAGCCATATGACCTCACTTTCGCTAAAAATAACCTCTTTTTGTCATTGATAATGTTCATACACGTTTCAGTAGATGCTAGGCAGTAGCATTTGGCAAGTGTTCAGCTTGGCTGGAGGGAGGCAAAGCGCGTCACTTTCTAATCCAGGACCATTGTACACTATTGAGCTCAGTCTTAACCCCAACACCCCCCACCCTTTTTTTTTTTTTTTTTAATAGAAATAAGAGGCTCAGAGTCATTGCCATCCAGCCAAGAACATATATCTGCCCGCTTTTTTCCTGGGTTCTGTCCAGAGAAGGTAAGCAGGTTTGGACTTATACCTATTTCACCTGGCCTTAGAACTCTGGAGGCTTTTGGATAGCTTAGAAAGGTAAGTAGGGGAAAAACTCATGTCTGATTAATCAAGATGAGCATCATTAAAGGGGATATAATACTTGAGCCCTTGGAAATATAAACTAGACTCAGACTTTAGGTAAAACTAAAACGCTGAAAAGACACAATGTAGTCATTATTATGTACAGTAAGTTTTCATTAGGAAGTTGTTTGAAACTCTGAAAGCCTTTTGGACTCATGTTTTAGTATTCCTACACTGATTTAGAGCAGGTACCTAATAGGATAGGGTCAACGAGGTAAACAGGCCATGTGGAATGTTTGGTGCTTGACTGGTGGTCGCTGCTAGCTGATGTTTGCTATAGCGGAATTAAGTGCTGTATTTTTTCCCAGGATAGTGTGTGATATAGGAGAGGCCACATGAAAAATAAACAGTCCAGTCTTTTAGAAGAATAGAGGTACGGAAGGTTTCATTTAACTCCACTTGAAATTATCTAGCATTTGAGTGTCACAATTCGTAACAAATTCAAAAGTTGGTCAAGGGTAGCCTCTTTTGAATTTGCATGTCTGATTTTACTGTCCATTTCTGTGGGGTATTTGATGTTTGTGCGTTTTTCCTGCATGGGCACTTTGGTATTCCATATTACTTGCTCTGTAATTATAATTACTTTGCCTTGGAGTAAATCACTACAGTAATTGAAAATAGTTTTGTTCCTCATCTGTTGTATGTATGCTTATTTCAAGTGATTTATGCTTAGGGATTGTAATTGCCCAAATTGAATTACTAGTTACAGATAAAGGTCTGCCTTTAATGATCACAGTGATTAAACAAAATGCCAGAAACTGTGTCCCAGAATATTGTGTTTGTAACAGTGTCAGAGTCAAACCTAAAGTACTTTCTTTTTTCTTAACTTTGGTTAGATGAATCACATTATACATGATATTAAAAAAGGGAAAAAAATCCTTTAATTGGAAATTTTACATTTGAAATGACTTTTTATCTAATAGACCACATTAATGCTTTTAGACATTGAAAAGTGCTTTAAAAATCAACTGCGCCTAGTACCCAGTGCCATTTCTGAAGTGCAGAACAGAGGTGACATCTTTCCCAGCAGCAAGTATTCTATTTTCCTTCTCCTTCTCTCCCTTGCCCCTTGCCCTTCTTTTTCTGTTTGCTATAGTCCTATGGATACAGATCATAGCTGCAATCAAACTTTCTAAGCAAGTGGGAATGTGGTATGTGGTGAGAAATAACTATTAGAAAGAAACCCTGTTTCCACCTTCAGAGGAAGTGAATTTCTTAACTTTTTCAGTTGCAAGAGTTGTTAGCCAACTCTTTTCTGTAACTAGAGAATGCAGAGTGGTCAGAGGAGGAAGGAGCTGATAGCACAGCTTTAAAGCATAAGCTGGATTGCACCCCCACCAAGTGTCAGCCCCAGGAAGGCGCACCCCCCTCCCATGCCCACCCCTGCCTTCCATTTTTCTGAGCTCATTTTTAGGCAAAGCTGAGGGACTCCTGAGCCAACCTCTATGTACCTGGCTTTGCTAGGTTAGGGCTTGAACTAAGTGGTGAAGAAGCCAAGAGCTCAGGGCTAGATAGCAGAGGAGTCAGCCTCATGCCACAGCACTGCAACTGCGCAGCTGTTTCCGATTGGTGTCTGAATTATTTATGTATGTATACATTGTTTCAGGCTAAAGTAAGTGTTCTAGTTGACTATTTGGCTATGCTGTTGTCAGTAGGACAATGAGACTCCAGCTTTTTCACCCTCGGCAGAAATTTTGACAGAGGAGCATGAGAAGCCATTGGAAGGACTGGCCTGGGGGCTGGTCTGCCAAGGGTGGTAGCTCAGGGCTTGGCGGCGATACTTCTCTTTCTCCGCCCAGCATAGACTTGGTCACCTGAAAGTTAGAAAATGAAAGTTAGGAGTTAAAAAACATCTTATGGCCTGTGGGTCCTTTAACTTGGGCAATTATGGCAACTGTGACTACTTGCAAAACTGGCTTAAAAGATAAGTCTATTTAAATTGTTTACACTGTTTCATTACCAGACTGGCCCTCCTTCCCCCCCTGCACTGGCACTCTCCTCCCTTCCTCCCCAGCTGTCTGGTTGTCACGCAGATTACGTTGTTGGCAGGGTCTGCCTTTAGTAATTGGCGTTTGCCTTAATTTTTCGGGCTTGCTGTGGAACAACTCTCCTGCCTCTCAGTACTCCAGAAACTGTGGCAGCGGAGGCTTACCTTTGTCTCCTTTCTCTCCCTTGTGCCCTCGAGGGCCAGGTGACCCAGGCGGGCCCGGTGGCCCAGCTGGTCCCCTGTAACCTAGGAGGAGAGAGAGACGCAGCATCAGCCAGGAGTCGCAGCATCAGCCAGGAGTCGGGGGCCTAGAGGAGTGGCACAGAGCCCAGCACAACGCTGGCGAGGGAGCTGCTTCTCAACACGGGCTTGTTATGCAGGGTCCTGGTGGCTGTTTCCTGCCACCACTTACCTCTGGGTCCTGGGATGCCCACTTCTCCCTTCTGCCCAGGGGGTCCTGGAATGGCTCCATACGCTGCAAGGGGGAAACCGGCCTTAGACTAGCAGTGTGCCCGAAGCTGGGCGGTAAAGTGATTTGTTCCCAGTAACACAGATGGGTAGCGGTAGAGTTTGGGCTTGTAAGAGGAAAACGAGGTTTAGAATGTGAGAATTTTAGCATCTCAATATTAAAATGAGGTTTTTTAGGAGACTGGTTTCTTCTATGTGAGACTGTGCAGCAAGTTACGTGCTGGGAAAGCAGTCTGGGGGGGCCCTTACTTCGGAAGAAGTCCATGAGGTCCTCGGTCACGTTGCTATAGGCGGAGAAGACCTTGCTGATGCCGGGGGGACCCTGGGGCCCAGGTCGGCCTGGTGGGCCCTGGACGGTGTAGGCCATCCCTTGCAGCAGGCCCTGACCTGTGAAACATGAACATGTGGGTACACCCCTCACAGTGGGGAGTGCAACTCCCACTGCAATGAGACTAGGGTGAGGGACAGTGGGGGACAGCCCAACGGCTTTCTTGTCTTCCCCTGTGGAGTGGCGCTGGTCTCTGCCGCAGTGGGCTTTCATCAGACGCGTTTGCCTGATGACTGCGCTGATAAGCTACAGGGAGAAATGGCTGCTTAGCTGCCAACCTTCCCTCAGCCGCAGCAGATGCTGTCACAGGACTCCGGAGACCCATTCCAGGTAGTGGGAGAGCCAAGGACAAAGGCCCCAACCTCCCCTCTCCTCTGCAGCAGAGGTTCCAGCCCAGGGAACTAAGCAGGGTGAGAATTAGGCTGGGGCCTCCTGTCTTCTGTCCCTGCCCGTCTGACTGCAGAACGGCAGGGCTCACGGCCTGGGCGCTCCGAAAATGAGGAGGGGTGAGTTTCCGGAGCCCAGACGTGGAGATGTTCATGTGCCCCCACCTCCCTCTCCCCAACAGCACTGGGGCCTAAGGCTCCCAACTTACGCTGCAAGCTCTCAGACACTCGGACAGCCAGCTCGTTGTAATCCAGACCTCCAGCAAAGCCATTCCCGAACAGTCCGCCATCACCGCCATACACGCCACCGGCTCCTGTCCCGTAGCCTCGGCCCAGGCCAAGGTCTGAGCCAAAGGATCCCGCTTCACCCAGGGAGCCCCCGCTGGTCCCTCCCACGCCCATGGAAGAGCTGTAGGATGTGTCCCGGCTGATCGACGAGCTCTGTGAGGAGCTGCTACTCCGACTGTAGGAGCCATCCATGGACTCTAGGCGGCTGTCTCCAGGTGGGCCCTGGGGCCCCGGAGGGCCCGGGGGACCCACGATGAAGCTGCGCACATCAGGACCTGTGGAGAGGAAGCTGCATTATTAGTGGGAGTGCAGATCTGTGTAGAGAGAAGTGGAAGTTAAGGGGTCTCTCATAGGGTCTCGACACTCCTAAGCTGGTTATGTAATGAACTTCAAGGCACTTGTCCATAAGCAGGGTCGTACTTGCAGGAAAGAAATTGGGCTTTCTTTGACTAGTGGCTCTCACGGATGAGCCTCCCAGGTTCCTTTACCTTCTGCTTCCCTTCCAGGGAGAAGCAAGGCCTGGGAAGGGTGCCTACTGTGCGACAGCCATGTTCGGGGCACCTACTTGTCAGGTAGCTAATCAGTTCGCTCCGGAAGCTGTCGGTGTTTTCAGCTGCGTAGGTTGCCAGCGCTGCTGAGACGCCAGGAGGCCCTCGAGGGCCTGGGGGACCTGGAGGGCCCGGAGGGCCTGCGATGGAGGACAGGCCAGCAGCTGAGCCGGAAGCAAGAGAGAGAAAGATCAGAGATGGCCCTGCTGAGGACACTGAGTTTCCCGCTCAGGGCCCCACGTGGTCCCCTCTTGGAAAGGAGCGGTGAGGAGGGAGCAGCTGACACCCAGAGCACCACCAGGGAATGACTGCCCCGCACTGGCCCTCCCACTCCCAGTTCTACCTGTGCTCCATCCAGATCATACCCCCTCCCTCAGCCCTCTGCCACTGAGAGTGGGAAGCCCCGCCTTGGCTCCTGGTCACCCTGGTAACACTCCCTGGCTCATCAGTTTTCCAAGGGCTGCACCTGGGAGCACTGTGCGTCCCCACTGCGCCTGCTGCTGGGCTGAAAGCACTCAGAGCTCAGATGCCCCTCTCCTGGGCACCAGTGCCCAGCCCCGAACGTGCTGCAGGAGGGCTTGGCAACACGTAAAGGGATTTAAGTCCACAGCTGCCCTTACTAAACCCCATGGGGCCCTCAAGCCCAGGTGGCAGTCCTCTGCCCTCCTCACCCCTGCTTCCCATGGCTTACTGTGCAGGTAAGATGAGAGGTCCTCTACGCTGATGCTGGACCACGCATTGCCTGGGATTCCTGGTGGCCCAGGGGGGCCTGGGGGCCCAACGATGCCTCTGAATTCAGATCCTGGGGCACCAAGGAAAAGCAAGGAGCTGGTCATGGCCTGGGCCGAGGGTCTCTGCCTTCCATCTCAAACTGCGTGGACAGAGGTCCCCTGCTCAGCCTTACCTTGGAGCAAGGAGAGGAGCTCCTCATAGGATGTCCCTGGCAAGCCAGGGGGCCCTGGGGGGCCAGGAAGCCCGATGCTGATTCCAGAACCTGAGGAACAAAATCCCAGGATGTGATAGATTTAGATCAGATAGGGAAAGGCAGATGGAAACACCCAGTGAGAGGTGCCAGAAGGGGATAGGGCAGCCAGACAGGAGCAATGTAAACGGAAGTGGGGAGCAAGAAGGGGATAGGGGAGCAGGAAGGGACAGGCAGAAAGAGGGACACACAGATGCCATCCTGGGGAATGATGCCAAGGAGGAGGGGCCCCTGGTCCTGGAAAAAACATAGGGCAGAAAAGGGCCCATATCCTCCATCCTGTGGGGGGGGTGTGTGTGTATAGAACAGTGCATGTGCATGTGTGTGTAGTGAGGTGTGTGTGTATGGAGAAGTGTGTACAGAGAGGTGTGCGTGTGAGTTGTGTGTATAGAGAAGTGTGTGTGTGTAAAGAACTATGTATGTGTGAATCGTGTGTATGCGTGTAGGGAAGTGCACGCTCTGTGCAGGATGGCGCCTAAGCCACTCGTCCTGGCTTCCCTCGCCGGGCCCTGTGACATGCCCTGGGGCTGCGGGTTTGAATGGCTCTGAAGGCCGCTCACCCTCTGGGTTGGCGCAGCCAAGCAGGAGGGGGTCCGTGGGCCACTTGAGGGAGTCCAGCCCCCATGTCTCACCCCAGGCCCTCCGGGGCGACCTTGCCTGCAAAGGACAGACACTCACTCGACATGTAGCTGAGAATGCGACTGCTCAGCTCTGCATAGTCCAAAGACTGGAGGGACCAATCTCCGCTGGCTCCGGGTGGCCCTGGGGGGCCTCGGGGGCCCATGAGGTGCTGACGCAAGTACTGACGCACGTCCTCCCCTGAAAGGAAAGGGTGCGTTGGCATGGACCCACCCAGACCCCGGGACAGCCACAGCCTGGTCTCCCCACACAGACTGGCTGGCGAGGGATGTGTGTGGCTCTGGTTCTCAGACCCGTGGGGGATTCAGCAAGCTGACAGGTGTCTGAAGGGGCACCTGCCTGGTTGGCTGGCACTGGGCAGGGAGATATCTGTCCCCTTTCCAGTCAGTATTTGGGAGCAGAGAGGGAGTAGCTCCTTGTCCTGAAGGACAGCCTCCCCTTTGCACCCACCGCGAGGCTCAGAGGGGCAAGATGGGCCTGACAAGGGTGGTCAGGAGAAGGCAGGCGGGCCCCCACCTCCAGCCCGCTGCAGGAGACTCACGCTGTAGCGCGGCCAAGATGTCTTCCGAAGTGATGGCGACAGATGACAATGAGCTGATGCTGTGCCCCGAAGCTGTCAGGAAGGAAAACTGGGGTTTACCTGCGTATCGGCACGGAAGCAACACCCCATCACTCCCAAGTCACAAAGACCTGGTCAACTGGCTGCTTCCATTTGGGGGAGATGAAGCAAGGGGAGCATGAGGAGGTGGTTTGCAAAGCATGAAAAGGTCAGGCATTACTTTTGTTTTTTGTTTGATAAAAAATGGGTTTGCTTTCCAGAGTAAGCATTAGCCTAAGTCCTAAGAGAGCCCGCCAGCCAAGAGGACCCCATCTCCCATATCTAGGAGCCACCCATAACACACACACCGCAAGCAGGCTCACTGAGCACGGCCCTGCAGCGTTCCTTCCCCCGAGGAACCCTGTGGAAGCCAGCTTCCGGTGGCCCAGTCACCGTGAGTTATGACGTGAACATCACGTTCAGAAGACGGGCACAGGCAACAGCAAATGAAGAGACGCAGTTCCAGGAACGAAAGTGCATGGGGGCGTGGGGAGAGTGCCATTGCAGCTGCGAGAGAGGCTTACTTTGTAAGTAGCTCACGACGAGGCTTGCCAGCTCTGCGTAGTTGAAAGTCTCACCCCCGATGGTGGTGACAGGCCCCGGAGGACCGGGAGGACCTGGGGGACCCTGAACTCCAGACAGGTATGACCTAACGCTGTCACCTGCCCACAGCGAGAGAAAACAAGGTCAAGCCTGTCCCCAAGTGGGCATGTACTGCCCATGGAGGTGACTTGAAGCACTTGATGAAATGCCTACCCCACCCCACACTCAGGGCCAGCAGGGAGCCCAGATGTCTCTCGTACAGATGGAGAAACTGAGGCATAGGCAGGGCCAGGAAATACTCAAGGGCTGGGGACCAACAAGACTCTAGTCAGACACCCATTTGACGAAGCTCTGGTGTCCACATTTGTGGAAATTGCACATGTCCATGGGGAGCACGGGGATGGGGTGGGGAGTGCACGTGTGAACATGTGATTGTGTACGGGTATGCACATGGACAAGGATGTGGGTGTGCAAGTCTCTACTGGGGCGAGGCTGAGGTCACACGTGTGGGCAGCCAGAAGGCAGGAGCTCAGGGACCTGCTGTCTTGGCTCCAGGGGAGGAAGAGCTGGGCTTGGCCATGCAGAGACTACGGACCCCAGCACAGATACGTGCGCACACACAGCCCAACTTTGCCCCCGGCACTCACTCTGCATGTACTCAGAGATGTACTGCTGAATCTCCAGGCCAGAGCTGCTGATGGAGCCCGGGGGCCCAGGGGGCCCAGGGGGCCCTGGTGGGCCTGGCATGAACATGGTGCTGGAGGAGGATCCCCCTGGAAGAAAGAAAGCCTCTGAGCTGGTTTTTCCACCGCAGGCCCTGACAAGGGCCCCAGAGCTGCTCTCACAGTCTGGGGAGGGAGGGTCTCCCTCAGTAGAAGAAAGAAGCCAAGAGAAGGGTCCCCCAAAAAGAGAGGAAAGGAGTGCCTGCAGCAGCTGCAGTCTGCAGGGGTGCGGAGGGGGTAGCTCTCCAGGCCAGACCCTCCCTCCTCGCCTTTGGCCACTGGTCACCACCCCAGCGTCTCCCTCGTCTCGGCACAGCCCCAGCTCCCAGGGCCTGCTCTGTCTCCTCCTTTCTCACGGGCATTTTTAGTCATCTTTACGTGCAGGGGTTCCCCATGCGGCCCCCACTAACATGGAACCTCTGGAAGGCAGCTCAGAAGTCCCAGCATTGGAAAGTACCTGAGCAACCCCAAATCATGGATAAAGAGATAAGTGAATGAATGAATGAATCCATGGTCTCATTAGCGTGGTCAGCCTTGCTTGAGGAAGGGGAGAGGAATGTTGGTCACCCATGGTACTGACCTTGAGAGGGACCACCAGGAATGCCAGGAGTCCCCGGGAATCCACGATCACCTGGAATCCAAACACGAGAAGTCTGTTTGCATCACCTTCCCTTATCAGCATGTGGCTCAACAATTGTTTCATATCTGTTTCTGCAGTGATACCGCAAGTTCCCTTTGGGCAGAGACTGTGTGTGTCCCCATATCCTCATCCCTTACTCCCCTCCAGCCTCTCCGTTCTCCCCCGCTTCCCCCCCCCGCCACCCCAGGCGTTAGCACCAGTAAGTACATGCTGCTCCCAGCTGGACTTTGGGAGCCAGCATTATTCTTACTCCTCACTGCCTTCTTGGCTGCTCCCTCACTGACCTTTGTCACCTTTGGGGCCTCGGGGACCAGGTGGGCCTGGAGGGCCGGAGAGGAAGGTCTCTGCAAAGGAAAGAAACAGTTTGGAGTGTGGACACAATGCTTCTGTGAGGCAGCAGCACCTAACACAGGGTTCATCGCACTGTAGCTTCTCAATACGTATCAAATGGAAGGGTTACATGGATGGGTAGGTGGATGGGGATGGATGGATGGATGGGTGGTTGGGTGAATGAATAAATGGATGGATGGATGGATGGGTGGGTGGATGAATTTTCTATGAGGGAGAAGTTCTGAGCTAGTGGCTCTAAAGCTATTTCATGTGTTTCTGTGTTGTACTGTCAACATTTATCTCATTTCATATACACGAGTCCTTCCTATTTCATCAGACCTGGGCTCCCCAGGGACAGGAACCAGGTTTTCCCAGTCAGTCCAGATCTCCCCAAGGGCAGAACTGCCTCCCTTCCTCCCTCAGGCTAGGATGCCAGGGGCTATCAGGGTGGCTGGGTTGTCATCGTTTACCCTCTGTACATGCAGCAGGTGGCATGGAATTTATGTGGCCACACCCTAGTGGGAAGTCAGGAGGAGGCGTGGTAGTAGGTCAGGAAGACCAGATGCCTGTGACCGTAGGATGCGCGGGGGTTAGGGCTGAGGTGGAGAAGAGGTGTGACCTGACGCCCCGACATTACCTGAGCTGCTCAGGTGAGATCCTGGTGGGCCTGGAGGACCTGGCAGGCCTTCCCCTGGAGAAGAGAACCCACAAGATTAATTATTGCCAAGAGGTGGGCCAGGAACCCTCTGCTCAGGAGAAGAAGCGGCAGGAAAGCTCTTTCTAGGGGCCAGCCCAGAAGGAGCCTGGGCTCTGGTCCCATTGTCTTATGCCTCCCCCGCCCCACGGGCCTCGGGGCCCTGGGGGGCCTGGAATGGAAGATCCTGCAGAAGACAGTGAGGGAGAGACAATGCCAAACCGAGGAGCAGGGCCTGGCTTCCTTACTAAGGACCTTGAGTCCCCTGGGCCCCACGATTCCCCTCCTTCCAAAAATCCCCGAGATGCTCACCTGGTGGCCCAGGTGGCCCAGGTAGTCCAGGTGGGCCTGGTGGACCTCGTAAATCAAGACCCTCTGTAGAGAGAAGAAAACAGAAATGAGCAAAAGCTGACGGGAGGCTGCTTTCTGCCAGCCTCTCCCCTCGCCAAGATCATCGGCGCCAAGCACCCCGGGTATGCTCACACGCCACACCTCAGGCCCTGGGTCAATGCACGACCCTCCAGCACGCCCTCTGCTAGGAGCGCCCTTGCTCAGAGGCAGGGCAGAGCTAGAGTCAAACTCCCTGAGAGCTCATAGGGGTGTATTGAGTGACGGGTTCAAACATGGCTTCAGTGTCAGAGAGCCTGAGTTCAAATCCCCGCTCCACCACCTCTAGCTGATGACTATGGCCAAGTTCTCAACCTCTGTCAGCAACAGCTTCCTCCTCTGTAAACCAGAGATGTAAGATCTATGTTGCAGCAGCCTTGTGAAGACTCAGTGAGATGCCACGGTGCCACGTCTGGCACACACGACCACTGGCCCAGGGCTGGCTGATGTCTTTGCTGTTCAGCTGTCCAGGCACTCACGTGCTGCGGTCGGGGCCCAGCAGCATCTCTGCCCGGGCTCTTTAAAGGGCAAGGATCAGGGGTCCAGCCTCCCAGGTCAGGCCTGAGGCTGAGAACCCACAGACTGTTGTCACTGCTCCCAGGGAGAGGGGGAGACAGTCCTCCTGCCAGTGACACTAACAGAGTCTGGCTCCCCGGAGGCCCTGTGTGACCCTTGTCCCCTGGAGTCCGAGAACCTTTCTGACGGCTGCCCCATCCCCAGCGAATTGCCCCCTACAGCTGACAAAGCCTCCGCTGTTCCATCTCAGCTGGCATTGCATTCCAGAGGAACTGGTCACCCTCACCCACCTCTGGGGCTCCGGGTGACTCAGGGGTATGGCTGCCACAGGCTCCAGGGTGCTGACTCTCCCACTCCCGCCCCCACGTCACCTGCCCCGGGGAACATGGGGCACTCACGAGTAGAGAGGACCTCGGAGATGGAGCTGCTGCTGACGAACGATTCACCAGCAAGTCCTCGCTCCCCTCGCGGGCCTGCGGGGAGACACAGGGTCGGGGGGTGGGGGGGTGGGGGGAAGCCTCGCAGCGGACCCTGAGAGGAGGCCACAGTGCCCAGTGCCTGGGGCGGGGCAGGCCAGAGAGCGGCAACAAACTTTCCTGCCTGTGAGAAACACCCCAGGCGGAGCGCACTGGCCTTCCCTGAGCCTGTTTTTTGGTATTTGGATAAATCTCTAAGTGGTGGCATGATTATCAGGGTCTGGTCACAAGAGGCCCGAGGCCTGGTGAACATAGCTGAAGCTTGACCCTGACCCCATGGCCACGGAGCTTCAATCCCTGCCCGGCTACCCCTGCCTTCTCAAAGACATGGAAGAGGGTGAAGCAGGTGTCTCCTCTTGCAGCCAAGGCTTCGCAGGGCCCTCGGTGCAGAACCCTGTCACCCTTCCCCTGCCCCCCGCAAAGGTACATCTCTTGCTTCATTTAGAGACCGGAGCCCAAGGCCAGCAGTTGCTGTTCATTCAGGAATGACATACCTTGCTGTCCTGGGAGACCAGCTGGGCCGATCGGGCCTGGAAATGGGGTTGGGGAAGGAAGGGCTTGGTTACACCTCTAGGGTCGCAGTTCTAGAAAATGCTCAGGGAAAGGCAAGTCCCGGGTATACACGCGGCTCCCTCGCAAGGCATGGAATGGCGGCCCAGAGGCCAGCGTGCTAACTGGAGAGCAGTAAGCAACTGGAGGCCAGCCCTGAGGTCCGCTCAGGCGAGAGCTCCTCTGCCGCGCCCGGGGCCCCTGGGATGGGCAGGGCTGCCCTCTCAGCCGCTGCCCTCCAATGACGAGGGGCTTCTAAATGCGCCCATTGTCCCCTCTCTCACTGGAGCTTATCAGGAGGGAAGGCTGGTCCGTTTTTGCATTGGCCATGTTAAACCATGTACTTCATTTACATGTGAACATTTTTAAATAATTAAAGAAGAGATACAGTTGGCCCTGGAACCACAAAAGGGGTAGGAGCTCTGACCCTCTGTGTAGTTGAAAATTCACATATAACTTTTGCCTTTCCAAAAACTGTGACTACTAATAGCCTAGTTAACACATACTTTATATGTATTCTATATTTTATTTGTGTAATAAAGTAAGATAGAGAGAAGAAAATGCTATTAAGAAAATCATAAAGTTTGTGTGCGAGTTTTTGCAAGTTGTCACAAATCTCCAAAAAAATTTCCAATATATTTATTGGAGAATATTTGACTATGAGTGAGTGTGCACAGTTCAAACCCATCTATATAGCAAAATAACAGGCATTTTGGAAAAATAGGGAAAAAAATCACCCATTATTCTTTAACTTGTAACATTTTCTTTCTTTCCAACATTTTTTTTTGCATTTTGTAAAAATATTGTTGCAACCACAGAGCACACTTTATGAACATTCTGCTCTTTTACATAATACTATTATCTCCTAATAACTTTCTTTCAAGTCCTTGTATTTTTGTAAGGATTCCATTTTTGTTGGACAGTTTGGGGATATTTTCTTCAAATAGAGCCCTAGCATTTTTGTTGCCCTTGATGCATGTTATCCAAGAGGAAACAATTCAAAGACCAAGGGCTCTAACTAGTCAAACACTGGCTGTGGATGCAGAAGGACCTGGGCCAAATCCTGGCTCTGCTGCTTCTTAGATGAGTGACCTTGGGCACGTCATTTACAAGCTGGAGCCTCCCACAGTGCTGTGGGGTCTGGAGAAGCAAGGCCTGTGCAGGGCTTGGGACGCTTGCTGGTGCGTGACGAGGGCTCGCTAGGCTGCCTGGGAGTGGGCTTTCTCAGCTCCCCCTTACTCTCCTCCCCTGGTTCCTGCCCTGGGTTTCAGGATTTGAGCAAACACTAGTGTCATCAAATGCAACCTGCAACCTCGGCCTGCAGCTATTTGGGAACAAAGCAAGAAAACAAACTGACCTGGGATACCTGGAGGTCCTGGGGGTCCCATGGGTCCAGGAGGTCCCGGGGGACCTGGCACAGTGAGAGTCGATGACCCCTCTGAAAACAGAAGACACATGGAGCACTGAGCGCCACTCTTCTGGCTCAGAGGCGCTGGGACGCAGGCCAGGCTGTGGGTTGGGCCGAGCCAGGGTCTGTCGCTCTCATTACTTCAAAACTGCCCCCACCCCTTGCTGCCGGCACAGAGAGCCCAGCACTGCATCCTGCCCAAGGCACCACGTGCACAGGCTGGCGCTTCCTGGAAGGTGCGAAGGTGGAGCCAGGGCAGATGCCCAGGACGGGAGAATACGCAGCACAGGGCCTGCCTACCTGCAGTGACCATCCTGCCTGGAGATCCTGGTTCACCTGGTGGGGGGAGGAGAAGGAGAGTGGTTGTTCCCAGCCTCGATTAGCGGCCCGATACACCATTTCCAAGGCTTCTGATTGTATTTGAGACCCACACCGGGGCCTCTAACCCGCAGGCTAACGGCATTTTAATGAACTGAGGGCACGTTCAGGATGCAAGAAACACCAGACTCTGCGCTGGAGACCCTGGTGGCTGGAGCCTCCGTCTTCTTGCCTCCCATTAGCTTTGGGAAGCAGCTGGGATTCCCCGCAGGTGAGTGTCGAAGAGTGTGCCTTTCAGTGAGGCCGGAATGAGGCTGAGTTGAGTCGTTCCCACTCCCACACTCTCTTCTCCCACAGGGGGCGCCTCAGGGTCTTCCTGACGGGCGTGGGTGGGAAAAGCACTGAGAGGTCAAAGGACAGCGGCATGAGCCTTCCAGGCAGAGCCCGGTTCCAGGGCGCCCCTCAGGGTGCTGTTGTCCTGGGATAGCGGTGGGACCCGTGCAGCGAGAATGGGCTCTGTGGCTGCTAAGGTGGGAAAGTTACATAAAGGCTCACAGATCTCTTCTCTGCCAGCATCTCTGAGGGTTGAAAAGGCACGTGTGCGGGGGGCACGTCCACGAAGGGGCCGCCAGGCTCACACTCGCCCGTCATGTCCACCACTAGGCGCCACCACGGTGAGGCAGCTCTTGGGACTGGAAATGCACACAGGCCTCTTTCGTCACTTCCCCTGGTCTGTGAGGCTGCTATTGATGTCCTTCTCAGGGGAAGCAGAGGGCTGCTGGTCTCGGTCTGTCATCCGCCAGCCCCTGGCAGTCAAGGCCAAGAGGCGGGGGAGTACCTGAGTTCATTTCATTGGAGCACAGTCCAGTATTAGGTAAAATGTCCACGTTTTGTGCACATTGTCCCAGGAGGATCTGAGGTCCTGTTTGAACAGGAATTTATGGGCCCTGGAAGGGCAGGGTGCCTGGCATTTTGGGGAATTTCAAACCTATTTGTCTTACGAAAGGTGCCATCGATCCATGGACATATCTGAGGACCCAGAGATCTGTCTGGGATGTGTGAACTCAGTCGTTGTTATGTCAGATTATATTGACTTGACCTAAAAGAACTCCTTAGCTGGACCAGTCCTTGGAAATAGTTTCCAAAAAGTATTTATTTTGTTCCTCAGGTCCTCACCAGGGGACAGGGACTGGCCATGACAGAGCACAGCCGCACAGACCGTCAGGGTTCAGGGATGTGAGGTTGCAGGGACGGGAGGAGGGGGACTGTCCCTGAGCACCTGTCTCCCTGGACTGGCTCAGGGTTGGGGCCTAATGGTGCAGAGCAGGCCAGCGGCAGAGGAACAGAGCAGGACTGGAGTTCCACTCTGTGCTTAGGGGTCCCTAGGCTGGCCCCGGCCAAGCCCTGCGGATGACTCCTCTCCCAGCAGCACCTCAGAGGCTCTTCACTGCCTGCACTAAAGCCCCTGTGTGGCTGGTAACACTGAGGTGGTTCCTGGCCGAGACAGTCATGTCACAGGGGACAGAGCCTAAGTGAGGGGGGCTGAGCACGAGGGGAGGTCAGGGGTGGACTACTTGTCGGGGTAGGAGCAGCAGCCCTCAGATCCTCCTCCAACGATGGCCTGGAGACCCCCAGGTACCAGAGTGGGCTCCCGCTTGTGGGGCAAGGAGGCGTGTGGGGCGGGGTTCAGGGCTTAGTTGATCCAATAGATCCCTAGCTCCCCAGCCTCCAGCCTTCCGCTGAAGCCACTAGATGCCACTGTTGATCCAGGCTCTGCCCAGAGAGGGGCTTCCCTCCTACCAATCCTTCCCATCCTGGGGGTGGGGGTGGGGGTGGGGAGGAAGACTAGTGAAAAGAAAGAAATAGTAATTTGGAAAATCACTTACCTTTAGTCCCTGCTTGGCCGGGGATTCCAGGAAGTCCTGACATGATTGAAAACAAGTCAGTCAGGACAGTTAAGACCCAGCAATTCCAGATGCCCTCTGACAGTGACTAGCGCTCTGCTCTGCCACTCAGCAGGGTCACTATCGCCGGACACCCATCTGGCTTTGCCTTCTGCGCTAGCTGAGGCGGCCCCTAGGGGACCCTCTTGCTCTGAGCCCTTTTTTGTCTCTGGGAAATGGGGCAACAGCGGGGCTTGAGGGAGGCAGAGACCCAGGGACTTAGCTTTAGGTGATCGCAGGTCTTCTGCGGCCCCCACCTGTCTCTGCAGGGCCCCGCCGGAGCAGCCAGGCTCCCTGCAGCCGGTGCTTTTGTCTACTGAACCCCCGGGGAGCAGCCGGAGGGTGTCCCTGGGCGCCCAACTTTCGGGGAAGCGTGCTGCTTGATTTAATTTTACATCTTTGCTTAATTTCCTTTAGGGGCGGGGGCTGAACATGGGGACAGTGCACAAGGGTCCCACTCTAGGACAGATGCTGATCCCTAGGCTGTCCCAGAGAAACCGGGCCCTTCTGCATGAGGTGAGCTCCCACTCCCTGCCAGGCACACGGGGACAGGCGCTGCTGGGCCAGCGCGACTCGTGGGCCCGGAGACCAGGGGGCACAGGGCTTGGGCAGACGGAACTGGCACCGGAGCCAACTTCACTTCTGTGAGGGTGGCTTTCTAGATTGTTCTGTGCATATTTGTCCTTCCTAAGGTACTTCTCAAGACTCACAGTAAAAGGACCCGAGCCCACGTTCACTGGGAGACTGAGGGGAGGAGATGAGGAAACGCAAGGAGGCTGGAGGAGAGGCATTTGCTGAATGCCAAGGGCTGGGATAGGGGGCTTGGCGGGGGGTGTTTGGAGGTGGGAGTGACCCAGTGACTCACCGGGAGGTCCTGGGGGTCCTGTGAGGCCTACAGGAAATAAAACACAGGAAGGGGGAGTTACAATGCTGAGGAGCCACACGCTGGGCCGCAGGAGCAGGTGGGATGGGTGGGGCGGGCGGAGCAGCTCTGAGCGTGCGGCGGCCAGACTCCGCGTCCTCGCAGCCCTGGACCAAGAGCAACTCTTGGACTTTGCAGTGAAGCGACCCCACTGCTCCATCGGGTGGGGGGGGTCACAGACCCTGTGGCACCTGGGAGCCATGAACCCAGAAAACCCACACCCTCCCTGAGCCCGCAGACTGTCCCCAGGCTCCCTCCGTGAGGCGCCTCCTCTGCGCACCCAACACAGGAGCCTGGGGCCCTGCTCATCGCAGCCTGCTGAGGAAGGCCTCGCTTCACTCAGCTTCCTTGGTGTGTCTTGGTTTGTTTCTCCTGCAGCCCTGAGGATCTTGCTCCCCCATTGGGCCTTCCATAGGGATGCTAACAATGGCTTCTCTCATCAGACAGCCAGGGAATGAGTGAGGGGCCAGGTGCGGCCTGAGGGGAGGTGGGCCAGAGGGGAAGGCTCAGAGGAGCAAGGTACTGAGGTGGTAAACTCTGCAATTTCAAAGAAGACGCCTTGCCCCTTTCTACAGCCCCTTGCTTCCAACCATTAATCTCTCTCTTCCCAGTTGCCAGGCTTGGTGACGTATCAGGACACACAGCCACTGCCTACAGCAGAAGCCAGCAGTTGTAGTTCCCTGCTGATCTGCTGGAGGAAAATGGGATAAAGGCACGCGCACACACGCGCACACACACACACACACACACACACACACACACACACACACACACACGGGTGCGCACAGGCGCACATAGACACCCCCAGAGCAGGGCCGCGGCTCCTTCTTCCCGCTGTTACCTGGCTTTCCTGGGTCTCCAGAAGGTCCTGGTGGGCCTCGGGTTCCAGGCATCCCTGTGAGACCTTGTTCACCTGGAGAGAGTATGACCAATGTACAAACGTCTTCCTTCTGGGAAAGCCGAACCAGCCAGCACGGCTGAGCTGACGCTTTCTTGGGGTTTTACTAAGTAACTTGCAGGCAGGTGGCAGGGAGAAGACTAACAAGACCCAGCTTTGCATGTTTCTCCATGACACGGGCCCCTCTGTTGCTGTGATTCGGGGGCGTGGGCAGGACAGAACACAGGAGGCAGGGGAGGCAGTGAGAGTAAGGAGAGCTGATCAGTGACCAACCTCTTGGGCCTTGGTGTCCATCGGGGCCTGCGGGTCCTAGGAAAACAGAACCACAGCTCATTAGCGACTCCCAGAGCTGTTCTAGGACGCCCTCCCATGACTGTCCCTCAGGATCACGTCAGGTTTTTCCCCAGGCGGGAAGCCCGTGGGTCCTTCCCGTGGCCGGCAAATGCGGAGAAAGCCCAGTCCCTGTCGCATCGCCTGGAGGCAGCTTTCTCCATGCCCTCTCCTCCGGAACCAGTAACTGTCTATTTCTCTGTTAAGAACTGTTCACTGACTCCCCATTGTATCTCCCAGTCCTTGGCAGGACTCGGCACAGCCCGGATGCTCGATTAATGCCGGTCTCATGGACTCAAGGTCCAGGAGTCAGGGTCCTCCAAGTTCTTGTCCTTTCTGCTCCAGCTTTCCAAACTTTCTAAGGTCCTTCTGGGACCATGTCTTGCTTTTTCCTACCTCTCTGACTTTCCTTATGTATGTTGTTGTTTACTGCTCTTATGTTGTTGTTGGAAAATTTGGAATTTTCCAAATCAATCATGACCAGAATCTTCCTTACTTTTTAGGACAATCTGAAGTGCCGCCTCCTTCACCTTCCTGGCTGAAAGAAACATCCCTCTCTTCTGTATCCTCCTTGCACTCTGTACATTTCATGGCACTTGTCACTTCATATGGGCTTTATCTCCCCTTGAGGGAGGTGAAGCATCTTACTTGCCCAGCACAGAATGAGCACTTCCTAACAATTTGTTAAATAAATGAGCAAGTGAATAAGTCACATCAGCCACTGGTAGGGCCTAAACTCTTCTGGGACTTGGTGCTCAATGCCTGGCCCTCTGTGATTCCTTGGCCTGCTCCCTGTCCTGGCTGACAGACCCCTTGGTGAGGGTCAGCACAGGGATGAACCCTGGATCTGGCTGTGGGGCCAGCCCTGGAATGCCAGGGCCATGTCTGGAAAACTGTGGACTCCAAAGGACTCTAACACCGCCTGCCCCTCCCCAGGGGCCCCAGGGGCTTGGGAGCAGGAGCCAGGGTGGAGGCCATGCCTTGCCAAGTCTCCCCCAGAGCAGAGAGACCTGCAGAGAGGCTGCTGCTCTCTGGGCCTCAGGAGGGATATGCAGGCCTGGAAATGGCCTATGAATAGAGCCTCTACGAGGGCTGGGCAGGTCAGAGAACAGGAGAGGTGGCTCTAGAAGGATCTCAACTCTAGAGCTATGATGACATCAGAGTGGGGTAGACCTGCCGCATTCGCTGTCCTGGGACACTCACCCATTGCTCCTTTAGCTCCAGGCTCGCCCGCAGCACCAGGCAGACCTTTCAAGCCTGGTTCACCTGCAAAGGAAACGCATTAGCTGGCCAGAGGCTTTCAAGCTGGCATTTTCGACTTGGCTCTCAAGCTTTTCAAGCTGGTGGTAGAATGCCGCACCCTCCCTGACTACCCCCAAGCCTGCCACTTCCCAAACAGATGAGCTTGGGGTGCCAGAGGTTGGGGACACAGTGTCTGCTTAGATTCTATGGACTGGGCAGCAGGCATGGACTGGCACAGAACCACGCCTGGGCTGAAGTTTCACGTGTATGAGTCCTGTTTCCTTGGCAACAGAGAGTTGCCCCTGGTAGCTGAAGTACCATTACTATTAATTTCCTTTTTAATCAGGCAAGTTGGCAGCAGCTAAGTGGGTGAAGGGGAACAAATAGTGCCAACTTTCTGCTGCTCTGGCAAGAGCTTAATTTTCTCAACTGATTCCCTAAAAGAATCAGTGACAATCATAACTCCCTTTTTTGCCCCAAACATACACTGTCTGGACTCAATGTCTTGCTGCTGGCTTATGCTCCAGCTTTATCTCGTCTTGTGTTTTGCTAGAGTGCAAGCTCTCTGAAATAGAGATTCTGTCTCATACTTCTGTGTTTTTTTCCACCTCCAGTGCCTAACAGATTTACAAAAAGTCTTTAAATAATCAAAGTGGATTCCCATGTAGGACTGACCTGTGAGGCCGCGGGATCCTTTCTCACCCTGGTCACCTAAAACAAACATGAGGTTGGGGTGGGGACAGGAAGCATCGGTGAATAGCAAGGAAAACATCCTCATCTAGGTAGGGGGACCCTGGCTGCGGAATAGTTCTCATCGTACCTGGAAGCTACTGTCAGCAGGATCTTGGCAGAGAACTTGTCATTTATGAAGCCAAAGGGGCACTTAGATCCCACCCACAAACTGACCCGGACCCCTGCTGTCATGCGATGGATGCTGTGGGCACAGGAGGACCAGAGCAGGAGGTCCTCAATACTGCCTCCTCCCTGCCCCGAGGACACCCAATCACAGCACTATGATGTTGAGGCCTTGTGGCCCCCATGCCTCAGTTTCCCCATTTGACAACACATTGCTCCCAGCCCCAGTGTCCAGGAGCCAGAGCCATCTGTGTTCTTGGACACTGGGGCCTGAGTCACATTTGGGTTCCCAGGAGTCAGGTAGGTTCTGGTGATGTCTGGGCAGGACCAGGAGCAACATACCTTTGGGTCCTGGTGGTCCCATTGGTCCTTTGTCACCTAAAAAATTAATGGACAAGTTGGTATAAAGAGCGTTGGTGAGAAAGGCCAAGAAGGGCAGCGTCTGTGTGTCTGTGTGTGAAGACAGGCAGCTGGTCCCACCACCTGGACTTGCCCTTCTCTTCATGTTTCTGTCAACCTGCACAGGCTGTTGGTCATGCCCATCTGACCCTCTCTGTCCCCCCAAGACCTTCTTCTTGAGCTATCGGCACCTACTGGGTGACATCTCCCCGCACCCCGCTCCTCCCCACCAGCTTACCTTTGACGCCAGGGAGTCCCACTTCACCTCGGAGCCCTTGGAGACCTACAGGGCCTGCAGGCAGAGGAGACCGCACAGATAGGTGAGTGCCGTGGCTTTGGAAGGGACGCACATGCACGCACACAGACACACACAGGCATGCACACAGCTACATGCCCAGGCACACACCCAGGAGTAAAAATCAAGAGCTGTTCTCTGCAGACTCCTCCCCATGTCCCCTCTACACTGCCCTGGTCCAGGCCCTTTGCCCCTGTGATTACCAGGCCCTGGTCATAAGGACACCGTTGGGACCCTGGCGGAGACCTTGGCCTGATTATAACGCAGCCTATAGCTCGAGATTCCCAAGGCGGCAGGACGAGCCCCGGCCCTAGGGATGAGACGGAGGCAGGCACTTGCTCAGACGAGGGCAGGGCGGGGAGCTGCCAGAGGGCCACGGGCCCTGAGCCAGTCCCGCGTGGCTCCCACAGGGCCTGCCGGCACCCAACCTCGGCCGCAGCGGACACCGTGTGGATGTGAGTTTTGTGCCTCCAGGCTCTCTTTATAATTGCTGCTTTTGCTTAAAAATGTTTGTTTTTCCTTTTAACATCCCTTTCTTTGCCCCAGAAATAGCATCCATTGGAAGAAGCAGTGCACTGACCTGGAGGGCCCTGTGGGCCAGGATGACCACTGGCACCTGGGAAGGGCGACAAAGCAATGATCAGGAGGGTCGGGCACAGACCAGGGACGTCTGACGCCACACGGACGGCATGGGTTCTTGTCAGGTCTCCAGAGCCAGTGGGCCCAGCACTAAGTCTTCCTCGGGGAGGAAGCTGGAGCTGGTGGGATCACGAGATCCCTGCTCCTTCCCAGCCAGAGTAAACCGTTTGGGCTGGCCAGGGGAACGGGGAGAGGTGACCAGATGGCCTTCAAATAGAGAAGGCCCATTCTCCCGGGTGGTTCAGACAGGTTGCTTTTGAATGTGTGCATCTGGGTCCCAGTCAGGTGAGGAACTGATCTGACTTCTGAGTTCCTGATCCATCCATCCACTTAGAGGCCATCTAATGGCACCATTGAAAACAGATGGAAACGTGGCCCCAAATCCACCATGCAGCCCAAACTAGCCCCAATCGTGACCCCCAGGCAGTCCTTTGTGGGGGACCCTCTCAGGACCCATCACCCCGGCACAGGCCTGGGATGGGGGTTAGGGCCGCCCGGGATCCCAGCACCTGGACCTCTGATCCGTCCTGGACATGGCAAACTTGGGTACCGTCCTGGGCACTTGACTCACCTTTGGGACCCACAGAACCGGGGACACCAGGAGGGCCCTGAATACCCGGTTCACCAGCAGACCCTGGGGAGAAACGAGCACTCTGAGAGAGGTCCCCCGGTGAGGTTGCCCGCCCAGGCTGGACGTGTCATTTGGGGGATGGTCCCCACCCTGCCAGCGACTTCTGATCCATTTGGTGCCTCCCTGAGACCATGAATCAGCAAAACACCTTCAGTTTCCACCCTCAGAGCCTTTATGCTCCCTGTCTGGCATCTGAAGTACTCGATAAACATTGGTTGCCTTCTTGAGTAATATTTTTAAGAGAAAGGGAAGCTAAAAATAAAGCTTCTTGCTTATGATCTGTTGGCATTGAGGGGATTTCTGGTGTTTGTTCTCAGTTTTCCTTGATAAAAACAGATTAATGTTAAAAATCTTATTGCAAAATCTTTCCAGACCCTTCCAGAGCTTGGCCTGTCTGTGGTGTTTTCCGTGACACCTTCCCTGACTAGTTCCAGCCGAGAGCGGCCCACAGGCCTGAACCCCATTCCACCTTCCATCAGGCCCTGCCACAAGCTCTTTGTCTCAGCCCTGACTCCTCCCTGCCCCATGTTGGGAGACCCCTTTCTCCCCGTGACCACGTTCTCCACTCATTCTGAGTACTGCAAGGTTCTTGGTCTGAGGCCTGGACCTGCGCCTGGCCCATGCCCCCCGGTCTCTGCCAGGCCTGGCACAGACCCTAGCTCAGGGTGCCCAGCAATTGCTAGTGAAAGGAGGGAGGGAGGACAGGATGGAGGGAGGGAGGGAGGGCGGGAGATAGATGAAAGGAGGAAGCATGGATGCAGCTAACTCTCCTGGTGAAGGGATCGCTTCTTACCTCTGTCTCCTTTCTCTCCGAACCCAGGTGGCCCAGGTTCACCACGAGGTCCCATGGGGCCTTCACGTCCTCTCTGACCCACGGGTCCCTCCAAGCCAGGCTCTCCTAAAAATAGAAATAGCCATATCAGAGTTTGGACCCCGAGCCACACCTGAGGGCTCCTCAGGCAGCATCTCGCTGGCAGGACTCCTGTCTAGAGTCTCTGCACTGGTTCCTGCACCTCCCCTTGCCTCCTGTAATCCAGGCTCAACCTGGAAGCCAGAGCAACCCTTTGAAAATGCAAGAGGATGGTGTCCCTTCCCTGCCCCCAACCAGCAGGTGGCTTCTCACCTCGGTGGGAGATGTCTTTACAAGGGCCTCCAGACCCACATGGCCAGCCTCGCGCCTTGCCCTCCTTCTGGACTCCCAGCCTCCCTCCTGGGTTCCAGCTGGGGCCTCTACCACCTCCTCCTCCTCATCGTTCCTTGACCAGGGGGCACACCCTTGCCTGTGGTTGCTTCCTCTGCCTGGAATGTGTTCCCCAAGATCTCCTCGAGCTAGGCTCCCTCGCCCCCTTCAAGCCTTTGCTCAAACGGCACCTTCTCAGAGAGACCTTTCCTGATGGACTCCTTAGGATTCCCGATGCCCTGCCAGCCCCTGTCCTTCCTATTTCCAAACCACCTCCTACTCTGCTCTGTACTTCATCTATTTAACATGTCTGTTGTCTTTCTCCCCCACCCAAACATAAGCAGGGCTTTCTCTGTTTTGTTTACCGATGTCTCCCCAGCACCGAAACTGGCCTGGCACACAGGAGGCACTGAATAAACACTTATGGAAGGAAGGGAAGAAGGAAAAAAGCGGTTCTTACCCATGCTGCCTTTTTGTCCCTTTGGTCCTTCTGGACCTGCTTGTCCCGAGAGCCCAGGGATACCTGTGGATACATGAAAATCCCTCAGCCCTGTTTTCCTTCCAGAACCTGGGAGCTGGGACCAAGCAGCCCACGATACCAGCCACACCATCAAAGGTTACGCACCTGGGGTCCCAGGGAGCCCTCGCTCTCCTGTGGGAACAGAGATAAGAGAGAGAGGTCAGCTAGAAGGCCTGGGCCACTACCTAAAGGAGGCACCAGGTGGGATTTAGGCAGGATTGCCATATGCAGCAAATGAAGATACAGGGTGCTCAGTTGTCTGGGTTGCAGATAAACATTGAATAAATTTTTAGTGTAAGTATGTTACATGTAATACTTGGGACATACTTGCAGTGAAATGGTATTTGCAGTTTACCTGTAATTTGAATTTAACTGGGCACCCTGTATTTTATAGTACCTGCAGGCTCAGGGTCCCCAGCATGGTCAGGAGGGGTGTGGCCTGCACACTGGAGTCCTGGGGAAGGTGGGGTGGGGCTGGTGACCCAGGGAATGTGGGTGGGGGCAGGGAATCTTGAAGTGAAGACCACCAAGTGGAGGACCCCCGATTCCTGCACAGGGGTCTCCTGGGAAGGGAGGTGGAGCTCAGAGAGGTGGCCCTGTCACTTTAAACAGTGATTCTCAGTATAAACCATGTACCCCTGTCCTCAGAACCATCTGGGGTGATCAAGGCTGCAGACCCCTGGCCCCCACCCACCTATTCCTGCAGAATCAGAGGCTTTGGAAGTGGGGCCCAGAATCTCCAGCCAATTCTCATACACACTGAAGTTTGTGACCCCCACTCAGCTAGATCAAGGGTCCCTGGGACCTCTTCCTCCTACCCACGGGCCTGTCCCATTGATTGTCAAGCCACTTTTCTAAAGATATACATCCATTTCTTACAGCACCTAAGTGTGTGCCCTGCACATCAGCATGAGATTGTCCCCACCTGTGCGACACCTGTTCCTGTGACTGCGTCCTGCACATCCCCCGAAGGCAGGTGGTGTTGCTCCTCCTGGCCGCCCCCGCTCCCCGCCCCCCGCCCCGAGAGCTCAGCTCCTGATGGCTGGGTCTCATCCCCAGCCCCCCTCGGCTATGGCCCAGGGAGCATGTTGCTCACTTGGAATGGTGGTTCCTGGCCTGATTCATCAGAATTAACCTGGGGGGCGGGCGGACCTTAGCCCCAGAGCTCTGCTTCAGGGACACCTGATTCTCGGCAGGGCCCAGGAATCTGTATTTCTAGAAATCTGCAGGGCGTCAAGGGGTACGTTGTGCTGTAGCTGCCCTCAGGCTGCCCTTTGGAGCTGGGGGAGATGCAGGTTCCTGACACAGGCCACCTGAGGGCCCATGTTCTGGGAGGCCCTGGAGCCCCGAGAAGGGGTGAAGGACAGCAATGTGGACCCCTGCTCTGGCATGAAGCCCCTGCCCCAGGAGCTCAAGGGTAGCAGGCTGTTCTGCAATTCAAGGTCCTGCCACCTGGGGTCAGGGTGGGCGGTGCGGTGGCCAGGAGAGTGAGAGGTGGGTCCTCTGACACTCGCCGATTGCTTTACACCATCAGCCTCACTAATATTTACAGTAAAAATTACCTTTAGGGCCTTGGCTTCCCATGTCACCTAAAATAAGAAAGATGAGAAGACTGTGAATGCAGTGAGAACCCAAGGCCCTTTCTCTTGTAGAATTTCAGACCAGCTGACAGCAGGTGAACCGCATTTCAAGGTGAGGCCTCGGGGATGGGTTCCTGTCTCCATCTGTGTCACTTGGCATGTCACTGGGCCCCTCTTAGAGGAGGCCTTAGGTCTTTTCCTGTTCTGAGATAGTCTGACAGTAAAGCCAATTCTCAACCTTCCCAATAGATACCGTAAGATTTTTCTACTGCCCATCCTTCAGTTTGGAAAAAAAGTTTTCCAGTCCACCAGAAAACACAACTCCAAGTTCAAGAAATGAGAGGAAAAGGGGTTCCATTCACTGCAATACCTTTAGGGCCAGGGTTTCCTCGGAGATTGCCTGCGAGAGACAGTAAACCCTGAGTTAGCCACGTATCTTCTGTCACACACACACACATGCACACACACACACACACGCACACACACACACACACACAGACACACACACAGGCTCTCTGGTATAGGGGGCAGACACCGAGGCTAGGGCAATTCTCTCCAGGTGCCAGTTTTCCCAACGGTAAAATGGGTTCACAGTGCTGGCCTCCCTCCCTCCTTCCCTCCCTCCGTCCCAGGAGGATGGAGGGGACTGGGAGTGGAGGGCGTCTGCGGTCCCTGAGCTCACCGTTTTCCTGCTCCATCATCAGCTTTTGCTTCACGAAGAGCCACAGGTCATTGTAGCTGTGGTCGCCCAGCCCAGTCTTGTCAACACCTGCATTCACCCAGGGCGCTTCCCCCTTCAGCTCATCTGTATTGCTCCCTCCTCTCTTCTCAAACTGCTGCATCCTGTCCCGCATTCGCTCCAGCTCTTCCACGCGGGCCTTCAGCTTCCTCACCTCCTCCGCTGAACCACAACAGGCAGCGTCAGCCCAGGGGCAGAGCCAGAGCCCTCCCAGCGCACACTCACTCCCCACTGGGAGCCTCAGCTGGGTACTCTGGGGCCTGTGACAGCTTCTTCATGCCGCAGGGACATTTTGTTGGAATGCTAATGGCTACCAGGTGGATTAGCTACTCAAAATTGTTATCAAGAAACCTGGCCCGGGGGTCAGTCTTCTCACCGGAGAAGGTGACAGCGCTGGCGCTCACTCTCCCTGGGAACTGGTGTGAGCCCAACAGGGTTTGGAGGGCAGAAACGCTAGGGGAAGGCATGGCCTGACAACTCAGGGCAGCAAGGCACTCAGAGAGGTGCTGCGGGGACAGCAGTCTGGGTAGGGTGGGAGGGGAAGGGCGGCACTAGAATCCTAGCTCTGCCACTAGGTGGCCTTGGGGCCTGGTCCAGGTGCCTCCTGAAGCCTCAGTTTCCCCATCTGCACTGACAATGTCTGGCCCCTTAGTCCCAACCTTGTCCTTTGGGCAGTGGGGCCACATACCCAGAGCAATGAGGCCAAAGAGCAGCCCCAGGAGCAGCAGCCAGGTGAGCAGCAGGCCCAGCAGCCACTTCCACCAGCTACAGCAGGAGCCGCAGGGGCACCAGGCTGGCGCTGCCCCCAGCGGGCCACCGCCAACACCGCCGCCAATGCCACCTTTAGTACCGCTGATGCCATTCTGTCGGTCATAGCCATGGATTTCTGTGGAAGAGAGGGGTAAGGGTAAGGTGAATGCGGGTGGCTCTTGCTCTCTTGCCTCTAAATTCGCTGGCTTTTGGTGACTTCCTGTGGGCCTGAGTGAATGTAAGTGGGTCTTTCGGGCTCCTACGCAGCCCGGTGAAGGACGAGGCTGGCCGATGGAATGAACACGGGGCGTGGCGGGTGAAGAGCAGAAGCCTGACAATCCCAAGCTTGAGCTGTGAGACCCTGAACTGTTGTTTTCCTTCCTTCCTTCCTTCCTTCCTTCCTTCCTTCCTTCCTTCCTTCCTTCCTTCCTTCCTTCCTTCCTTCCTCCCTCCCTCCCTCCCTCCCTCCCTTCCTTTCCCTTCCTTTCTCTTTCTCTCTTCTCCTCTCCTTTTCCTTCTCTCTCTCTCTTTCTTTAAAAATAAAATAAGGTTAAAAGATTACTTACTTCATAGGATGGTTGTGGGATGAAATGAGAGGCATGGAAGGTAATTAGCAGAGGACGCAGCACAGAGAGCCAGATGTAAAAATCTTGACTGTGAACTTTGATCTGCTACCACCTCCTGCATTTTGCTAGGCCCAAACCAGGGGCGTGCCCATCCCCATGTCTCAGTATTCACAACTCTTTGTAATTCCCAAGTGCCTAGAATTACACTCAGCACTTCAGAGGTGCTCAGTAAAATTTTTTTTTGTCTTTTTACAAAACTTTTCTGGTTTTTAACGTCTAAAACGTGGTGCTCAGTCTTGCTCTGCCTCTCTTACAAGGCTACAGGAGGAAGGGAGGTGAGTGTTAAGGGCTGTAGACACATGTGAATTAGCATCACCTTGCAGCCTGTGTGAGTTGGGAGGCTGGGCGGGTAAGACAACGGCAGCCCTACTGTGTGGTGTTGCTCCTGTTGTGTGGGGAGACCCTGGACTTGAGGGCAGATAGCAGGTGCCTGGAGGTGGGGCGGGGGCATGCTGTGAGCAGCAGCCCCTGAACTGAGCTTCTGCAGCCAGCTCTAACTGGCCTGTCCCCTCTACTGCCTTCCACTCTGCTCCCCTCCAGCCTTCAGGGACACTCATTAGAGCTGGGTGGCTCCGGTGTGCGCTGGATGCACTCAGGTGTCCAGGGGAGAGGGCCTCAGCTGTTGCATTCACCACAGCTGGCCCCACGGGCTGCTGTCACTGCAGGGCCCTGCAGTGTCACCTACCTGTAGAGGTCGCCTTGCCCTTTGTGGACACCGTCTTCAAGTCTCCTGAAAGACAAACACCGAGAATACAGGTTTTGATCCGAGCTTTTAAATGGGAGGGGCCCACAGGACAGCCTGTGTGTAGATTTTGGGCAGGGCTTTAGGTAGATGAGCCCCCTTCCCCGGCGCCTTGAGTACTAGATGGCAGACAGGGCTTGGCAAACAATTAGTGGTGGAAAAAAGCAGTGTCATAACCCCCTTGTGACCTGACACCTTTAAAGCCAAGACATTTTCAGAGGATCATGTTAGGTGACCTTTGCTTTCAAATAATAAATGTGCTTGTGAGAAATGGCTCTTGAATTTTTTTTTTTTTTTTTTTTTTGGTTAAGGGACTTTGAACACAAGTTCTTAACCTGCCATGGAGGGAAGCCAGCAGCAAGGATGGGCTGGGAGGAGGGTTCTTCATGAGTTTCTGATGTTATTTGACCATGGAGTGTTGTGGGATGTGTGGAATTTTCTGGGAAAACTGTTTACAGCTTTCATCAGATTCTAAAAGGGTCTTTGGGCTCCACTGCCTCATTTCCACCCCTAAAATGTAAGGCACTGCTAACTTAGAAGGCTTAGAATTAGGCATTATCAGGACTGTAGCTGATTTCATTTGCATTTATCTAAAAATGTTCTATGAGGTAGTTTTCCCTTCCTTTATGGACCCCTCTGAAATCAGGGATTTGGAGAGATTGTTGAGGATGCAGGGCAGTGAAGCAATGTGTTTAACTAGGAGAGGATCCAGATATTTGGGAAGAAAAAAGTAAAGCTAGCAAGTGCTTTGCAAAGTATTTTTCTATTAGTTCTGAAAATTAGGGGAGCATGAGTACAGTGAGGAGAAAATATCACTATAGACCTTACATGTATCATGGGAAAGCTTTTGATTCATTATTGTGCATGCACAAATTGACTGGAAGCTTGTTAAAATGCAGGCTCTGCCTCAGCAGGCCTGGGTGGGGCCTGGGAGCCTGCATCTCTAACATGCTCCTGGGCGTTGCCATGGCTGCTGGTCCAGGGACCACACTCTGAGTGGTGAGATCTCAGGAGACAGATAAATAAATGAAATGTGGATTGCTGAGGGCAAGGTGGACAGTGACCAGATTTGACCTTACCATTAGTTTCCGAGATCAGGTTGGTGTCGGCGGTGTAGGCAGCTTGCTTTTCCTTTTTCAGGGTGTCCTCTGAAAAGGAAGCTGTGCACACAACCCATGACAATCTGGGATATTTGCTCCCCACTCTCCAGCCACACTGTACATCCTGTCCCACTTGGGAAGGTATTGGTTAGCCTGGTAGGAAGAGGACCCAGCTTTCCTGGGATTAAGTCCCCCATCTGTGTTTGTGAGTGGGAATCTTGCTGTTGTTCTCCAGAGACCCCTCTGGGAGCTCTTTTCCAGAATTTCCCTGGCTTGTCTGCATTCAAGGTGGACCCTGGGAACACCCTAGTAAGGCAGACAGTTTTTTTTTATTTGAATGGGTGACTGTGCTTTCACTATTAAAGCATCTCAAACCACCTTGCTAAGACCTTGGGTCTCCTGCACTATCTGCTTGTCTTCTGAAACCTGAGTCACTCGGACTCTCACATACTTGCAGCGATGCTGGCGGGGGAGGCTGTAAAGACCTTCCCGCTGTCCTTGTTCATGATCAGCAGTTCCACCTCCTTCTTGGCAGGCACGTTTTCTTTCTCAAGGATCAGGAATTTACAGTCCTTGTGCAAGAGGTCGTCATTCTGGACACTTGTGGTACAGGCTAGAGAGGGAAGAAGTGGGTGAGGGGGAAGAAAAAGGTGCCAGGAGAAGGCAGAGGGAGGAAATGACCAGAAGAGGAAGGAGAAGGAAGGGAAGGAGGAGGAAAAGGAGATTAGGGGGTGTGTCCCAGGGGCTTGGTCTCCCTGACAGTGGCTGCTAAAAAGCATTGTGGGGACCAAAGACAACCTCCCGTGTGGCCGGGCCTGGTGATGAGGAGGTTGGGTTCATGTGAGAGGTACTGGGCGGCTGGCCTATGGCTGCCTCCCACCTGGACATTACAGGATCGTTAGGGAATGGACAGAAGTCCCCTTCTCAGATGGGCCCTTCTTTACCTCGGTGGTTTCATTTCTATCCTTCAGGTCTCAAGTGGTAGCATCCTGGGGGTGTTTTCCTGAGTACCCGTCTGATGTACACACGTCACCTTTTCTACTACCTCACCTTTCCTTCAAATTATCATGTGTCTTCTGGCTACTTGTTTATCTGCCTCCACTGGAACTGCCAGCCTGGTGAGGGCAGGAACCTAGCCCTGCCCTGCTCATATCTGTGGCTTCTGGACTTAGAACAGTGTCTGGGGGGAAACAGTGGGATCAGAGCAGCGGAGGAAACAGCCAACCCTGGGCTGTGGGCCTGAGTTGCTAAAGATTCTACAGAAAGCAGGGAGGGTGTGGCAGCTTTCACTGGCTCCCCAGTTCTTACAGTGGGTGACATTTAACAGGAGCAGGACAGGGGCTTCCAGACAAAGGTGGGGGCTGAGGTGTAAGTGTCTGACTCTAGGCAGGTTGAGAGGCGCTTCCTGCCTTCCTTGGATAGAAAGGTCAAGGTAAGGTCAGGGAGATGCTCATCTCTGCTCACTTCTGGAAATAACCAAGAGGCCCATTTGCAGGCTGTTGACCACCCGTGGGTTATATATACCCCCTTCCCGTATGCCTTGTCACCACAGAGCAGCTCTCCCTGGCGGCTGGGGACAGCACTCACCGGCAGAGGTGGACACGCCAGTGCTTGCCGTGGCAGTGCTCTGGGGTATGTTTTTCTTCATACCATACGCTGCAAGAGAGGAACCACTGAGTAAGCGGGACAGTGTAGGAGGGCGGCTCCACACACCTTGGAAGCAGCCTGACCGGCCCTGGCAGACAGACAGACAGACAGCCTCCCCACGTAAGAGTAAGGCAATAATACTGAACACGAATCATGAACGAATCATGACATGAAGAATAACGAATAATGAAATCAACTCTCTTGAGCTATGGGGGCAGCAATGAGAGTTTAGATGGAACTTTCTTTGGTATAATTCTCATCCTTCCAGGGCAGGTCTCAAGGTCACCGCCCCCACGAACTCCTCCGAGCCCCGCCAACAGCAGCTTCCTTTCTGACTCCTACAGCCCTCACACCTGCTCCGCACAATGTCACTCATGTTGTCTCACAGAATCCCCCAACGTTTCACGTTTATTGTACTTTCTACTCCAACTAAACGGTAAGCAAGTCGAGGGCCAAGGCTGATGCTCATGCCTCTCCTGTCCACCCTCGCCCAGTTTTGCACAGGAAGTGAACCATAAAGTCAGACAGATGGTTGATTTGCAGCAACAGTGGCCCGTCAGGGACAGCAGTCAGTCACAGGGATATACAGGTGACACTCACAGCAATGCTCCCCTGGGGTTTCACTCATCTGAGCTGGCAAATGATCAAGGTTAGCATCTCTACGGCGGAGGGTTTCTTCGGTGGGAAAGTTCAATTGATTTTTTAGGGACAACTTGGTCCCTCGGATTCAGTTGTTGAAAAGGGATATTGTGAGTTATAGCTGCACAGAAGGGTTACTTCTCAGCCCTAAGCTCCAAACCTCAGCTACTGACCTGTGGAGGTGGTGGCCGTGCCATGGGTCAGGGTGGAGGAGCTGGGGGCCAGGTTGTTCTGCATGCCAAACACTGTGAGAGGAATTGAAGGCCGCTGAGCGCAGGAGCACAGTGGCGGCTCCTCAGCTTAAGGCACCCTCCCCGCCCCCACCAGTCCCCAACACCACTTTCATGATAAAGGCCTTTGCATATGACAGATTCCCAGATGTTCTCAGTTCTCATGTTCTAAGTGACACAGCAATTTTTTTTTTTTATTGAGCAACTCCCCATCCCAGGCCAAAAGTTACGAACAGTTCTGTTTTTTGAATAGTTGGGTCCACACAACTTGTAGTGGTAGTTATCATAGGGTCTGAAAGATTTCACTGTATTTAAAAATTCCCTTGAAATTTAAAAGTAGCACAGGGTTCCCTGTTCCCTACAGCACCCTAAGTTGCCTTGGTGTGCAGTGTGGGAACTGTGGGCATGGGATAGAGACACAAGAGGGCCAAGAGGCGTAGGCGTGGCATAGCCCTTGTTTTCCCTTGAACTCTTCCTTCTGACTCAAACATGGCACGCTCTCCCCACCCCCATTCGGACTTCAAAGGCTGGTTGTTTGCAACAATGTGCAGAAGCTCACTCCTCCCAGTCAATGGCTTCTCTTATTCCATCCTATCTAGTGATTAGTGTACAAGGTCATGATCCAATACCCTCAGTCAGGACTTTACAAAGCAGATCAGCAAAAGCAGAAGAAATGAAGATGAACCAGGTGTCTTCTGGGTTTGACAGGATGCTAGTCAATTAGAGGTGTTTAACCTCAGAACACCTAATTTGCACTTGGAGATATGCCAGACAAGCAAATAAGGAGGCCCACATCATTGTATTTACTAGTCCTTATATTGCAGGGAGAAGGCACATTCCTTAAAAACAAAAATGATGCAGCTGGTAACTTACATCTAGGTGGTTTCAATGTATGTGGAAATAGAGTGAATAAATTTGAGCTCTCAGTGAATTACTATATTTATAAAAAGATCTGGAGTAATAACCTTCTAACTTAACAATGCTCTTTACCTGGAATGTCCTAAGCCATGCCTCACTTAGCTTCTTTACTCCCATTTCTCTGCCTCTCAGAGGAAACATGTAAGAGAGATCTCTGGCCCCTCCGCCCTCACGTAGGCCTCTCCCCTGGGGACTGAGCTGGCTCTCTGATGGAGGGCGGGCTCTGTGCCTTCTACTGCAGCCCCTTGGCCACTGCCTGGTGCACAACACATGCAGGGACGTCCTCATGCTTCTGGGCAGAAAGGATATCTTCTCTAGAAGCCATGAGATTTTCCTCACCAGGAAGGAACGTCCCTATTATTATCATCTTTTAAAGCAAACCAATGGGAAAAGGCGGCTGAAGCGGGTGAGCACTGACCTGAGGAGCCGGTGCTGATTCCAGGGTGCAGAGTAGGGGAGCAGGACGCCATGTTGTTGGGAACTCCAAAGACTGCAGAGGGGGGGAAGGCTGATGAGAGGGATGTCCAGCCCGGAAGTGGGGGTGCCATTGCAGCTCCAGAAGAAACACCAGCATTGCATTTGTATATTTTGTTAAATTTGTTGTTAGGAAAATCTTAGGCTCTTTCTGGTGTGCCTTAGAATGTAGCCAAGGGGTGGTCATAGGTTGGTCATGTCTCGTGTGGACAGTGGCTCTGGCCAAAGCCCCACTTGTTAGTGACCATTTTACAGAACAGGAACTTGAAACCCAGAGAAGTTAAATGACCTGCTCAGGATCACACAGTCCACACGAACTGAAACTAGGTTCCTTGCATCTGTTGTCATGTTCTCTCCCATTGCATTTTTTCTGATGCTCTGTGTAATATAGTTCTTTTTATAGGAGACCCACCAGAAGAAACACCCTCAGGGGTGGCCAACCTTTTGGCATCTCTGGGCCACACTGGAAGAAGAAGAGTTGTCTTGGGCCACACGTTAAGTCCAAAAACACTAACAAAAACTGATGAGCGAAAAAAAGGTCCGTGCATAATTTTCGTGGTATCTGCCACCACAGATAAGCAAAAGAGTCCTCACACAATAACCCTAATTATGCGTTAGCAATTTCGATAATCTTATAAAATCATTGAGCAGGTCCCAAGTTTGTGATCACTAATATAGAAAATGTACATATCTAAGTAATAAACTAAGTAATGTTTTAAGTAAATTTATGATTTTGTGTTGGGCTGCACTCATAGCCACACTAGGTCACATGCGGCCTGGGGGCCAAGGATTGGACACCCCTGCCTTAGAGATTGAACTGAACCTAAGTTCCAGTGGAAACACCTTGGGATGTTTGGCCACTGGAAGGCCCCTAGGAAGCTGTGGGGATGGTGAACGCCAGCAGGGTCATTCAGCGCCAGGTAAAAGTGAGGTGGGCCGGGGGTGGGGGGGGATGTGCACTGCGTGTCACATACCCGATCCTGCAGAATAGGCGTTGGTGTTGAGGAGGGACGAGCTGTGGGTTGTCATGTTGTTGTGATAGGTCCCCATGGAGGACCCCGCCGGCAAGGTGGAGGACCACATGTGGGAGGGAAGGTTGGCATCCAGGATGGTTGTGTCGTAGGTGCCAGACACTGAGAACAGACAGATAGACAGACATACCCCAGTGAGAGACAAAGCAGCACTCTGTGCTGGGGCGACACAGTTGGCTCGGTTTGCTGGGACTTTTCCTGGTTTAGCCCTGAAGGTCTCACATCCCAGCAACGTCCAGGGCAAACCAGGGCCGTTAGTCATCCCACTTCTGTCTCAGGCCCTGGGGCAGGGGCAACCTCGATCTCTTGGCTTAGAAATTCTTGCTGGCTCTTGAAGCCTAAAGCAGGTAACTTTTACTACGAGGTTGCCCATTTCTCCTAAGTCCCTCTCCCCACCTCCTGTCCCCACCAATGTTCTCACTCTGTCTGTTCCTGTCTCCACCTTCAAGAGTGCCAGGGAGCAGTGCATGAGGTCCCACAGCGAATGCTGGGGGCGGGATTCCAGGCACACAGCCAGCACTGGTAGGAAGCCATCGCTTCCAGGGCCGCACCACATGGATGGCAGCCTTTTCTGGGTCAACTCTCCTTGCCAATGAGACCCAGGGGGCACTCTGCCTCCAAGAGGGGGTTTTGGTGCTTCTTCAAATCTGAGGCTGATTCTGCCTATTCCTTATATGAGGTGGAGCTAGCCACACAGGTCATAACGTGCTCTGAGGTTTTGGCTTTGTATTCAAAAACAAACAGAAGATCACAATCTCAGGGTCTGTTTTTTTCCAGTAGCAAATGACGGGAAAGCTTCTTTTCTCACCTTCTCCCTAAGGATCTTCTCATTCCTCTGTGTGCCTCCTCCAGAACCTACTTACACCTACCTGGTAGGCACATGAAAAATTAGTGCTGAACAACATTCACCTGACCTTAACTGAGATCTCTCAGGTTATCTGACTCCCCCCAGAGGCCCTCACCGCCATGAGGGCAGTGCCCGTGTCTACCTTGTTCATGGCCTTTCCTCAGTGCCTGGTGCTTGGCATGGAGGAGGCGTATACGAAACATTCACTGAACAAATGAATTAAAACACAAAGTCTTCATCTGGGGAGCCTGGCCAGCACATTCCCAGGAGATGTCAAGAGTCTCTAGGATGTAGAGCCCGACCGCAGTGCGCCATGGGATGGCTGACCAGGCAGGCGTAAGAGGGGCACAGCCCACATTTTCATGCTGCATAAGGGGCAGTGGTTGGCCATAGCCGGAAAGGCCTGCCAGGGTATGGTCGAGTTCCTGGGCCAGGACAAATGTGCCACCTTGTTCCCTTCCCTTCATGGCAGCCCTGGGCCGTGGGGCTTACCTGAATGGGAGCTCGCTGTCACGGTTTTGGTCTCCACAGTGCCTTTCTTAGGGATGGGGAGTGTGTTGGAGGAATTCCGGGTGGGGCTCACACTTGCCGATCGACTCCCCTTGAGCAAACGTTTCACTTCATCCAATTCTGTCCCTGTAAAAGAATCCTCGCATTTTTCATTGGTCCCAGGATTCTTTCCAGAGTCCAAGTGCAGTGGGAGTCACATTTATGGCATTCTGAATATGAGGGAGGGTGGCCTCTGCTTCACATGCTGGGACATTTTTGGTTAGTCTTATAACTTTTGCATTTTTCAATTTATAGCACTTATTAACCTGGCACTTTGTAATATTAACGGCCTCATAAATATAGTGCCTCTACAAGGAGGTCAAAGTTGTCGGTAGATATTTTATAATTATACCTTGTCAGACACCACAGGGGCAATTCTGTGGCTGGAAGACCCTGTGGCTCGAAGATACTGTCATCCTGGATCAAGGGAAATTTATACCTAGGGCAGTTAGAGAACCAGGCCCCCTGAGACAAGTGGTTCAATAGTGATTTCAACCCCTGCACAGGACACCTCAGGTGTCAGGCCCCTGACCTTGTGTGCCCTGCAGTGTCAAAGGGATTTGTGCCCCGACCTCCTAAACTTTATGCTGCTTTGTGTGAGTTAATGTCAAGTCTGTCTGGCTGAAATTATTTGTAGTGGGGTGATATGGTAGAGCAGACTCCCTGTACCTTCCACCTGGCATACAGGAGAGGAGGGAGGGAGGAGGGAAGCCTGGTGCAGGGGCAATGCACAAGAGGAGACGAAGAGATTTGCAGACAACACATGCTGCAGGACTGCTGGGGGCCCCTCTGCTGAGACGCGTATCCTTTGGACTCAGCAACTGTAAGCCTGGAAGGGCTCAGGGGAGACAGAGTCCTTGGGCCTACGGTGAGACCCCACGACCCCAGGCACGGAGGGAGCTCTTTCGGCAAGTGCCCATCTCTGATTCCTGAGCCACCCACCCAGCTCTTTCTCCTCCTACTCTTTGTACTTGGCTCCCGTCCTGATAGTGGGGCTCATGTCCAAATGTCAAATAACCTTTCACAAGAACAACAGAAATGTGACACAGTCAGCAGACTGAGACGGGGGAATCCCTGACATTTGAGATCTAGTTAAAACTCTCACACACTACTTCTGGCCTTCCCTGATCTTAACACTCCCATTAGGTCTCCTTCTGCTGCTTTCCCTTCAGCCACACTGAGCATTTCTCCAGGGTCCCATCATCTGTTCCTCAAACGTCTCTGCCCGCTCGCCCCGTGGAGACTAACTGGTCGACCCTTCAGCCTCCCTTCAAGTGACACTAACCCAGGAAGGCTTCCCAGGATCCCTGCTCCCCCGACTCCCTGAGCTGTCATGGTTGGCTGTTGACTCTCTCCCCATCACTTTGTGAAGTACGAAACAGGAGGGACTGCCACTGACCCAGTGCCTTACCCCTGGCACCAAGCCAAGGGTGCCAGTCACCGAAGGTCCTTAGAGACATTCACTGATTGAGAGACTGAACACACACACACACACACACACACACACACACACACACACACACACACACACACAGCCCTGGATTCCTGGGTCCTTTCTTTTCAGCAAGGTGGTGACCACTTACATCGGGTAGATGGAGACGCACTCTGCAGTCGAACTCGGATTTCACTCTCTGTACAAAGGAAGATGAGGAGAAGGCTGTGAATGGAGGGACTCAGGAACCAGTGCCTGGCACTGAGACCTCTGTGTCCTGGGAGCAGGAAACCTAGGTATACCCAGGATGAGTACTGCTCAGAAGGAGATGTTCTGTCCCTACACCCTGACCTGCCCACCGCACACCTCCAGCCCCTTGGAGATGTTCTGATGAAACCCCAGGCCGAACAGCATGGCTCCATCACAATCATCAATGACCGCCCCCTTTCCAATTTCCCAATTTCCAGAACCAAGCTTCTCTCCTGCCTCCAGGGTCTCTCAGGCAATAGTAAGAGAGTTCTACAACCTATAGTGTTTACTTAGCCATTTTGGCATCTTCAGAAATGGAAAGTGCATAGTTTAATGTTATTAGCTTCAGGTGGAAGACTGGTATCTTTCAACTCTCAGCCCAAAGCTGTGGGTGGTTGGCATGTTCCTAACTTTCCAAGCCACTGGTGCAGTGAGCCCTGTAGGAAGTCTAGGCTGGTCCTCGAGAACTCCCGAAGCCTGGGAATGGTTCTGCCTTTCTCACGGGCCTGACGCTTGCTCCTCACCAGATTCATCAAGGGCAGCTTTCTCTGGGACCACGTTTCCCTTCTACAGCCTTATCCATGGGCAGGTGTGGGGAGTACAAAACTGCCACAGAGCCCTTTGGCCCCTGGAATAATTGGAAAGAAAGGGGCTTTTGCTCAGTTTTGATGCATAAAGGCAATCACAGCACATCTTGTTAGAGTCAACCAGGAGATGCGAAGGGAAACAAGATGTAGCGCCAGCACCTCACACGATCCACAGCAGAACCAACTATTGCCCAGGTGGTTACCATGTATCTTCATTCCTGCCTCATGTGCTTATTAGATTGCCCTCATATCTACCCTTCCCATCCTGGTAGAGCCAGCAAAAGATTCCCAGGATACTGTAGGCTCCTAGAGGGCAGAGCTGTGCCTTACTCATTCTTCTGCACTCCTCCTATTTCCTGGCTCAAGGCTGGACACACATTAGATGCTCAGAAAATACTTGTTGAACAAACTGAATCCAACTCAGAGATAGAGCTCACCTCTTGTTTGGCTCCGTCCTCTGGTTGAAGAAGATGCTGAGAAACAAAGAAAAGTTATCTTAAGCACATATAAGAGGTGGCATGCTAAATATTTTTTTCACATGGGGATAGATCTATGTGGGCTGGGGAGCAGTTTGTTTTCACAGTATGTTTTTCCCGGATAGGGCTCCTTAGGGCTAGAGGATGCTCGATAAATGATGAGCACATGGCCAAAAGGCAGACAAAGCTTTGCAAGGCCCCAGTGCACTTAGGGTGTTAAGTTAGCTGAGGTAATCCATTTAGGAGCATGATCCACCTGGACTGCCTGACTACACACTGATCAAATGTATCAAAAGAGAACCAGGTCTTTCCTTTATTTATTTATTTATTTATTGGTTAGAGATTACCATGGTTTTCCCACTGAAAGTAAATAAGTAAAACTATAACCACTGTACAATCAATGACCAAGTCGTCAATTCATATGCATGGTGAGAATCCGAGAACGTGGATGAAAGACTTAAGGCCAAGGGAAGACGCTTGGGTTTCACTTGGCATAACACGTGCCCCTTTGAAGCCGCTATGGTAGAAGTTGCTTGGCCCTAGGGTTTATCTGTCCATGCCTGAGCCTTGTATAAGTAGCTTGTTATTTCTGTAGCCTCATGAGCAAAGGCTATGACGGCAAGGTAATGTGGCTGACAGCCCCCTTAAATGTTTCAGGATAAAACGCAAAAGAAAAACAGGTCAGCAGAGGTTAAACTCTTAGAAGAAACCTTGAACTCATGATGTTCCCTCCCCACTGCACCCGAGGCACTTTCCTGGTGCCTCCTTTGACCATTTCTTCAGAAAATAAGGGAAGGACATACCTATTTCTTTTCGAGGGTACTCGGGAGAAGAGTTGCCACTGGAGCTCCCTGAGAAGAGGATAAAACACTCAGCCCCTCCAGCTCCTCCAGCCCTCCCCCACTGCCACCCGCCTAGTCCCAGCCAAGTTTTCCCTTCCCTGGACAAGTGAGCTTGTCCAACCTCTTTCCTCCCTATTTTTCCTGCACATGGCTTTCCAGAATGCTACCCCTGCACCTCCAATATGATCAACTCTTTTGTTAAAAATCGTTGCGGCTTCTCACTCTCTGCAGAGTCAAGTCCAAACATCTGAGCCTAGCACTGATGCTGAGGCTCCCAAGCCCTCTTAGCTAAACCAACCATCACTGCCGCTTGCTGCCTCAGCCCTGCCTCTCCTCCTGTGCTTGCTGGGCTGCTGCTCCCACAGCCTGGAGCTCCTCGTCTGCCCACCTCTGGTATCAAAATCTTACACATCCTGAGGGCCCAGCTCAGATGCCACCTCCCCACTAGACTCTTCCCTGTAGACTCAGCCAGAGAGGATAATCCCCTTACACTTTGCATTATAATTTTTATCTGTTGTTTTAACTTGTCTATTTAGACTATAGGCTCCTTGAAGACAAGCTGCATGTCCGATTCATTTAAGCATCCATCAAGGCGTTCGGTGTGGTGGCAAACACGTAAAATACCACAGGAGGAAGTGACTAAATGAATGAGTGAACGATGGGGTGGGTAGATCACCTAAATCTCCAAGTAACGTGAGTCCTTACAAGAAATGAAGGAATAGTGGAGAGAAATATGAGGGGGCAAAGTCCGTGGGACTGATACCTTCGTATGTTCCATGGCGGGTGATGTGAGCTTTCCTTTCAAAAGTTGAGCCTGGTGAGTTGGGCAGAGTGGAGGCAGGCGAATGAGCCCTCCTGTAACTGGAGGTGGAGGCATTGCCCCGGGTGCTTCCACCTGCAAGCGGAGGAAAGCGTCAGTCCTCACAGCCCTTGAGCAGATTGCCATCTCTTATGTTAACTGAGTACACCAGGCTGCTCATAACGAAAGGGGGCCTATGGAGGGGCTACAGGGCGTCAGCCCTGAGAGGGTCCCCTTCAGCATTCCCTCAGCTGCTCAGGAATGGCAGTGGCATTATTGTTCCTGCCACTCCTCTCCACGCTGGCCACTGGAAGGCGGGGGTCCTTGCTGCACAGGTCTGCCATGAACGGGAACCGAGGGCCTGGCATTTACTCGGAGCACACAGCTGGACAGCCTGGAGCAGAGTCTGGGGTGGAAGGTCCCTCAACAGATGAGAGCAGGTGCCTCTCTTGGTCAGCCTGACCCTTGGCCTGTCCTGGGTCTTCTTTTTTCTGTTTTAAAATGGCTTCACGGGTTATGTGTGTGCTTGTTTTTCCCATTGCCTTGTTTTGTTTTATTTCAGTGTGGAAGCTAACATCAAAGGGCGTTTCATGGGGAACAATGGCCCTGTGTTGGACGCTTGCCCCGTGGAAACTCGGGCAGTGTGGGATCAGATTCCCTGCACACAGTGACCCAATCCTTCAGCTTCTTTAATTGTTGTTCATTCACATTGTAAACCCTCAGAAGTGCATGCCCTTCTCTAAAAGGGATGGCTTCCAGCGAGTGATTCGGTGGAAAAGGGGGCCCCTCCTCATGAAGCCCTCCTTAATTAATTATTGTTATTTATAGTAGGGAAATTATGAAAATTGATCCCATTTTAATGCAGATGATTTGAAAGTCTCGCCTCTCCTGGGTTCTGTGTCATTTGCACAGCATGTTGGGTCATGTGGATGGATGACAGTTTTGTCCCCCTCCTTGCTGGCCTCTCTCCCTGCCTGCTCTTCCCTCGACCCCTCTCACCAGCAGGCACTTACCTGAGTTTAAGTAGCCGCTGCTGCCATGGGTCAGGCTCTGTTTCTCCAGCCGGCTCCCTCCACTGAGAGAGCCCGTTTTAGCATAGCCATTGCTGGTCCCCCCTTCTGCAGAAACAAAGAGCAGGTGATAATTTGTGGGTGGAGCCAGCTCTGAGGGCCCACTCATCCCTTGGCCAGAGGAAGCCTTCCCTGGCTTCTCAACCATGACCCCCTTGGTTTGGCCCCCCTTTCCCATCCATGGTGCAGCTGCCAGGCTCTCATTTCATTTGCTTCTGATACAAATGTCTAGAGCAAATATCCTACCAGATTTAAAAGGAACGTCGTCGGGGGAAGTACAGCAGGTTGTTCGTTAGGAAAATTTAAATGTTAGAAAAGGTAGTGAGTAATGAATAGCTCCTTGAGGCCGGGCCTGGGTTGGGCTTGCTCCTTTCAAAGGCCTGGTCAGTGCCCCAGGTATGGCAGCGCCTAGAAGTGTTGGAGGGACAAGCAACACTCTGTGCTGCTGGTGTTCTGGCCAGCAGCCTGTCATGCTCCAAACTGGGGGGCTGATGGGTGGGATTTCCACACATCCCTCTCTTCTGTGTGCCAGGCTTCCTGGGAGGGCAGGACTTTAGGTCTCAGATCTCCATGCTCGAATCCACTCAACATAAGCACCTCCCCAGGGAAAAGTGGACTCAGACAGAAGCCTCCCTCACTGGTGGTTCCCTGCTCCCACCCCGTGCTCAGGTTGTATAAGAGTTTCAATATTTTAGTGTCCACATCAGGCAAATATATAGAGATTGAAAGAAGATTTGAGACATTCAGGGGCTGGGGAGTGACCGCTAATGGCCATGAGGTTTCTTTCGGGCAGAGTGAAAATGTTTTAAAACTAGATTTGTTGCAAAGAATGCACAACTCTGTACATATACTAACAACCACTGAATTATACACACCAAACTGGTGGGTTTTATGGAATATAAACTGATGTCAATAGAAGTGTAAAGAAGAAAGAGATTTCAGCTATTTTGGGTCTGCTCTCCTGGAGCAGGAGGCCCCTGGGAAAGCCCGCACGCAGAGTCCTTCACACATGACTCGCTGCGAAGAAAGCTCTCGGGACTGTCACTTACTTGGCGGTAAGGATGTAAGTCTTGTAGTTACTGTTTCGGTGATAACTAAAAAAAAAAAGACAAGGGAAAGATGAGATCTCATGTCATGTACTGAAAGCCCTGTATTTTGGCAAAGTCACCTCTCTGTCACAGGTGCACTAAATTAGCTTTGACAGACTTGTATATACTGTGCTGTGAGGTAGGTGATCTGCCTCACTATACATGAAAATACGTGCGAGGACAACGGAGTTTAATTTACCTGGAAAATAAGTTTATGTCCCTTTGGAACCCAAAGGAGGTAGCTATCCAGTGATTTGAAAAAATAAGTTATCTTGATGTCAATGCCATTCGTTTAACAATTAGATCCAGTCCAGGCCTTTGAAGAAGGGCCAGGACCTCAAGTCACTCTCAAGTACTTCACGTCACACTCTTCCTCTGCACTGACCCTTCCAAACGGTCACCCAGTTCAGCTGGGGCCAGTGCATCATGCTGGCTGATTTCACTGTGAAGTGGATAATTACCTCGACTTCTAAAAATGAATTTGGGGTATGAGTATGAGGAGGCGTAGGCAGGAAGCGGGGGTTGGGAAGTAACATTTGGTGTTTGGAGAAATAGGGGATGGATGAACATCAAAGACAGACTTGAAGAAAAAGTCCCTTTGCCTCCCGAAACTGAATTTCTCAAGACTCCAAGTGATGGTGTGTCGATGGAGGTCATAAAAGCTTACAGAGTTGTTTTTCTAAATAACAGAAGAAAAACCTCATGCTTTCCCGAGCCACCCTCTCCCCGCATGGGAAAGGGGATTGATTTCCCAGACCACAGAGGGGCCAGTTTTGTACTCTGACCATGACCCTCACCACTACGTACTCCTGTGTTGGACACAAAGGAGCACCTATCAAGCTTTCTGTGTGTGTGTTGTGCACGCCCAGGTATATGTGTATGCGTGGTGTGCATGTGCACATGCATGTGGTTATGGGGTGGGGCATGAAAGGAGAAAAGGGTGAAAGATGGTGAGGGATTTTTTGTGCCCTTGAAGCCCTGCTGCTCACCACTGCTCGACCTCATGCCAGTCTTACTACCCACCCCCTCGCCCTTTCTTTCTTCAAATTGCATTTCCCTAACGAACTTGGTTGTCCTAGCAGGAACACGGGGTGAGGGATACAGCAGAAACAGCACTCCATGCATAAAAGGAAATGGTTTTTCAGACTAAAGTGGAAACTTGATTCGAATAATAGCTTTGAGCTTTCACTAACCCTCTCAGCACATGGACCTCTGGGATTCTTCAACACATAAAAAGAAAGTATTTCTTAACCTAAAGTTCCAAGTCTGTGGAGCCAGAACTTTTTTTGTTGGAGATATATGAAAGTCACAGGATGAGTGAAAGAGTTAGAGCTGCTGAGGGGACAGTTTAAATGTCTTTGAAGTTATTTAGGCAGTTTCATGAAAGAAATGTGTCTGTTTTCAATTTCCAGTGTAGATTGCAACCATGACATTGTTTTTATTCCAACTTTGTCCCTTCAATAATGGCGATGTTATTGTTTTGGTTTTCTGTTGCCCTGTATCCCTAAATAAGGAAATGGTTAAAAATATAATAGCAAATTCATGCAAGAGAATGTTATGCAACCATTAAAAATGCTGGTTATAAAAAACTATATATCAAATGGAAGTTTTCATCTTCTTTTTTTAAATTTAAGCATTTTATTGTTTATGCTATTATGGCAGTTTTCATCTTTGAAGAAAAAGTAGAACACATTTTGATTACGAGTATGTTAAAATGAAAGTCATTAAAAGGCATCTCACAGGAAGGAACAAGTTCTTTTTAGGAAATACCTTTAAAATGATAGTTTTTTAAAAAACAAAATAACCTGCTAAAAACAAAAACAGAAAAATTAAAAAAACAGAAAAAAAAGATACAGTAGTTTGGTGGAATTAGGGATGAGTTGCCTACTCTTTCCAAATTTTTATTACTTTGATGATAACAGATATTTCATGCTCTTACTTCTTTCAGTGACTTCAGTGCCTTCTCGCTTGTTTTTGTTGGTTACATCCATACCATAGCCACCTGTGGAAAAAGCCAGAAACCGTAAACAACCATGTCTCTTACCTTCACTTTTCAAACGCATAGATTCCTACTATTCAAGCTGAGAACCTGAAACCTGATTCCTGGGATTCAGAGCATAATTCTCTTATGTGCATATTTTTTAATGAGTGATCCTACTTCTTGTATCAGCTAAAATAGAGAGTAATTTAATAGTTCCAATTTAGGTTCTATTCCTTGTACTGAGATCTTATTTTTCAGGATGTATTTGAGCAGGCTGCCTGCCCCCTGCTGGGTTTTAAAGGGCTTACATGGAAGATGTGCTGCCCTGACCTTAGACTGTAAAAACTCCATACTTTGCCAAAGTAACAAATGGCTGAAGGATATCTCTCTGTCAAAGCACTCAGTGCTTTCAGCTAACTCATTTTGATGTATCCCATAATGTTCGGTGTTCTATATGGAGCTCTATGAATATAAAGCATTTATGCTTTATTATTTAAAGTTAGGGTATGAAAGTGGTCTTTAGTGTATTGAAATCAGGATAAAAATCATTACAATGGTCATACTTGTATGGAACTTTACACTTTTTAACAATACAAACCAGCCCTACTGTGCTCTTTTGCAGACATAAATAGAAAAAAAATATATAAAGAAAATACATATAAAATCTATTGAAATATGTAGGAAAATACATGTTCACAGATGTTAGCTATGTTCCCCCCTCATGCTTACTAAGCTTCTGGGAAGGAAAGTCATTGAGATCTTGTTCATTGTGCCCTGGAGTGTGGATGGGAGGAGGCGGGGCTGCCATCAAGGGGTGGCTGGGGATGGGGCTCAGGCCTAAACATTCAGGACTATACAGCCCAGCTGGGCTCTTTTTACTGTAGGTCCCTGTCTCAGGTTCCGGAAGGACTTAAAATCTGATTTTTCCTTTGGCCCTCTTCCTTCCATTACCCCACCTCCCAACCCTTCCCTTCCCCTGAGATTATTTTTGGGATAAAGTTCAAATTGGGTTCTAGAACTCTGGGGCAAGCTACTTCTGCTCAGGGTACCCCTTAGTTGAACATCTTTTCTTTCAAGATTTTTTGCTGGCCTGGTGACTTCAGTGCCTAATCCCATCATACTTTTAGGTGCCCCCAAAAGTAAAATCAGAAGGAAAAATAGACACAATCCAACCTGGGTTATCTTCTTCCAAAGCAGTTATAAAAAATACAATTTTTAAAAGTTTCTTTTTTTTTTGTTTTAAATGGAGAAAGGGGTCCCAAAGCCAAAAGTGCTGAGGGCCCATGAAAGTCATAATATTATCCTGAGTAACTTTCCTGCTTGAAAAGCAAGACTACATAAGACCAGCTGATCATCTTCCCAGTAGAATTAACTAAGATTGGCACAGTTAGCTTCAGAGCTGGGTTGAAGGTGCCAACTTCTTGCTTGTTTAAGTTTTTTAAACCCAGCTCTAGGCAAGGAATGAGGCATCATGGAAAAACTCCTAGGTCAATCTGAGAAGCCAAAGAAGGCCTTTCTGTAGGCATGTGTCTCAGGGCCAAGAGGAGGGGCTCCACACGCAGTGTAACAAGGGAGTCCAGCCTCATTGGGTGGCTAACCCTGGCCTGGGACTGTCTGCATCCCGGCAACAACCTGCACGATTGATGTCATGCCAGCCTACACACAACCAGATACCCTCTTTGAAATTCTTTGTTTAAGCATTAATTACCTTGGTACCTCTGAAGTCCCTCTCCACTTTTTTTTTTTTTTAATTGGTCATTAAATGTGAACCAGGCGGCATCTTGGAGAATAAACATTCAAACGCACCTGGCTACTGGTAGGTGAACCTAGTTTGGTACCTGAATGGATATGCAATATTATCCTGAAACTGCTTATAACAATCCATGGAAACGTTTACTTCCCACAAATTATTGCTTATTTTGATCCCTGAATGAAAGTTGCTGCTGGTAGCTATAAATTTGGGACTGGATGAGTTTATTCCACTTGTAGCCATCAAGGCAGGCTGATGACAGCTCTCTTTGGTAAGAGTCCGAGTGTCCAAGCAGCAAAACTGGCAAGTGTTTTCTTGTTCTTTCTATACCCAGAAAAATAACAGACATTTCTTTGTCCCCCACACCCCTCGACTCTTTTTCTTAAGTCCTAATTATGGAGCTTTGAGATCAACAGCAAAAAGCCAAGGGTTTCCCAACTTCCAGAGGGCACAGAGAGACCTCTCACTAAGAAATGAGATGACTTTGACCAGGGACTAGAGGCTCTTTACTGGCAGGTACCCTGGGACAGAACACGCCCCAGGTGGGTGCAAGGAGATAGCCCCTTGCCTGTCAGTCTGAAGCCCCTCAAATGTGTCCCATGACTGAACAGGATGATCTCTTGGGCCTGAAAAGTACAGGGCAGAGGAGCTCTGTTACTTTGCTGAAGTTCTCTCCCAGACTGACAGTCTGAAGAGGCAGGAATATGTTGGGAGATGGATTTCTTTAAGCCAAATGTGAACAGAATCTTTCTGTAAGTGGATTATAAAATATGAAATGAGGGGTTGAGGCACAAACCTTGACTGGGGTCATCCCTTGGGACCTACCGTATTCCCACCAGACTTCCTTTTTAAACATTGTAAGTGCTGATAGTTTTAAAAAGTATAACTAACATTAGGGAAGTGAAATTACATGCCCAGGCATGAGCCTTATCCTGTCTTTCCCAGCAGTGCTCACCATTGTGCTCTTCTCCCAAAACACCACTTAATGGAGGCACAGTCAAGGAGAATAATTTTTAACTTCTTGGGTGTTTGGGCCATTTCATTAGAACTAAGGATGAGCAGATTACTCAAATTTTCAATTCCAAAAGTATGCTAATTTCCATCCGTACTTCTCAGGGGCGGCTTTGTGGTTATTTCATAGTTAATGCCCCATTGAAGATGTTAAAAATGATCCCATGTCATTTTCTGATGCCAGAAAATGCAATTCAAAATCATTTTTCTACTTTTGAGTTTTTTTCTTTCCACTTCATTTAAATGATGTCACATCCACTGAAAACTGGTCCAGTGGTGATGGGGTATAACACACACACCAGCAAGGACAGTGGTAGTAAACCATGGCATAGACCAGGTCTTATTCTAATGACTCATTAAACACTTGGTCTTTGATACAAAGAATGGAATAGAGAAGCTAAGTGTTTTCCTCTATTTTCTATTTTAAAAATAAATGTTCTTATACTCTGCTAAGGTATTGTAAGTATTTTTACAGCTCCTATTACTCCAATATCTGCACACTTTAAATTTTAAAACAAAAGAACAACAACATGGCCAAAGTATAAGAAAACCATCCAGTCGCTACTGATCTATAAGCCCAGGAGGGCCAAGCAGTTTCAAGAAAACCAATGCCCTGGGGCCGATTGTCTCAGGAGCTTTTGTATCTACCCCAGCAATGGGCTTGCCCACCTGTAGTGCTTGGCATCCTCGATTTTCATAGCTTGGGAGCAAAGCAGCTTGGACACCACCTTTGTGATTAGGCTGCTTGTTTGCAGCCATGTTTGGTTAAATCCTACTGCCATTAATAACAACAAATGAGCCAAATCACACAGACACAGATTTCTTTCGGTCAGGTATCATCTTAGGATCTGATCAGTTTCACTAAAATAAGGAGTTTTTATCTACACTTAAGTCAGAACTGTCTGCTTTAGCTTTTTCCATGACCAGATTTTCGTGAGTTTCCTGAGGGGTCTGAGAGTATACGGGCTCCTCTGCTGCTCTGAAGGGGCTGACGCCTGCTGTAGTTTTGCTCTGACTCAGCGCCCTGTGCCTTGGCTCTGAGGGAGAGCATGCAGGGGTGGAAGGAGCAACTCTGCTTTTTAAACGAAACTCTTCGTAAATCCTTACTACATTTTATGGGCATAATGAATCCAACTTTTCAGCTACTGATTAACTGCTTCTCAAAAGAAGTGATGTGCCTGAGGCTTTGCCTATAACTTAAAAAGTGAAGTGATAATCTATCAGTAGTTACTGTGGTGCAGTGAAACACCCAAGATGGTAATTCTCACCTGAAAATGATTTTGGAGGGCCAGATTGGCCAGTTAAAGTGTGGACACATGCAAAATTTCTTTTCCCTTTTTTTGGCTCTATATTTGCTTCCAGTAAATTCCTGGATTAATTATATCATTCCAGATATTTCACTTTACTTTAGATTAGGAAAGCAGTAATTTTAGAGTGTGATAAACAACAATGTTCACTCAGCCTCTTGAGCTTAAGCAGAACCTGCCTGCAGCAAGGTCTGGGTAGCACATCAATACTTAAATGCTCAGGGGCTGCTTCTAGAAGGCCCCCCCCCTTACTTACACTTGACCTCTGCTGTCAAAGTGAGAGAGGGAAATAGAGGGACTAGGGGGAACGAGCAAGAGCAAGGGGAGGGGGAGAGAGAGAGAGAGGAGACATTATAAACTCTTATCATATGCTGAATGAAACAACTTAACATAAGCCATTTTATAATACTGAAAAAAATACAACAAATCTGGCCACTAGAGCTTAGTTTATCTTAACTAACATTTTTCTTCTTTTTCCCACTAATGCAACTTTCTTGTTATTCCTTTAAAAACATATCCTAAGCAGAATGTATAAACCAGAGTAATCATTTATGATCAATTAACCACTTCCCCAGAACATTTGAAATCCAACAACTTTATCTTATTTTCTCCAACAAACATTTAAGTTCTAAATGGCAAACCTCAAATCAAAGTCTCAAAAGAAGGGAGAAAGGTCAATTTCTTCCTGTTACTTACCTCGTTTGAGATTTGAAGGAATGGGAAATAGCTTTGAATAAATCTCCCCACTCTCTTCCCCTGATGTGCTCTTCTAGATGTTTGCGGTTCCCACTTTTTTTTATCCAGACCCAGCCAAGATGTGTTAAAGCTGAGTGATCTTTCAAAAATGTTCACTTTTTCTCTCCCCCTTGTTTCTTTCTGCTCTTCGCTTCCAGACAAGTCCTGACAAAGGTGTGTCTTGGTTTACTGCGTTACTCCACCCTT